GTTTACATCACTTAGGTAAATTATGCAACTCGCTTCCGCTCGTTGCACAACATTCACCTGCGTGATGTAAAAACGCTCTTACTACACTTGTAAGGTAAATAGCTATTACGTGTCCATCATGTATTTACCTAAACATGTTTATAACTTTTTTACTGTAGTAAATGAACAAATTGAAAATTTTTATTTTTATTTTTTTACAATCTACAATTAAACGCTACTAAATCATTAATAAACGTATTATTTTATGAACATTTATCAAGATTAGTTAACAAAATTACCAAAAACATAAGTAAATGATACCCAAACTTTTTAAATTGCCGATTATTGGGGCACACATGAGAATGAACAGCGTTTAACTTTTCTAGTAAAGTAACAGTTTAGTTTGTTTTATGTAGTTATGTTTAATACATAAAGCTCGATTAGACACAATGGTATGCAATCTGTACTCAACAATTTATTTCAATGAACTAGCTACTCTTGCGTTGAGTTTTATAGGTAGGCCTATTGTTTGTATTGTATCCAAATAAAAATAATCCACTATGTTGACAGTAGCATTTTTGCCGTCACAATTAATCGAAACCCATCTATACACCATTGTAATTACGTGTATTTTTAGTCAAAAGTATAAGATGAAGACGTTTTGAAAAACTGTTGGATGTTCTTACAACTTTATTTAAAAATGTATTTTTGGGTTGGTTTTAATCACAATCACAATTAAAGTTAGTTAATTTTATCTAATGAAGCTTTTGTATTTTGTTTTCTTTATTTAATACAAGTTTGCACAATTTTGTAACCGTCCTAAGAAAATTATTACGAAAAATATCACAATGCTGCGAAGTAATAATTTTTGGTACACTAAATGCTACATGTAAAGTGTCGAAAATTCAATTACGATTCACTTACATAAAACGATAAAACATTCCACTCTATTGAAGTAGAGTAAAATCCACTTTTATTGTAGATGTACAATCAATTTCTAAGGTATCGGACTTGCAAAAATATTATCCAACCGTAAAATAAACCCATTAAAGCTTGTCAAAACCCAGTCTTTACCGATGAAGACTCACGAAAATTAGAGGTGAAAAAAGAAAACAAGAGTTACACAAGAACGTGGCTGGGAACAATGTCGGTAATTGTAAAATGGTGGCAAAAGACCCGACGGGCTGCATTGTTGTAAGCAAATTGTTTGGCTTGTCAATCAGGAGCATTGTGCGGGGATTGACGCAATTACGTACTTGCACTGCATCTAAATGAGGCAGCCGCTTCATCGCTTCAATACTCACATTAATGAACTGGCAAGAAAAGGATTGTCTGCTAGTCTGCTTGCACGCCACAATCTACATATCACATACCTCAGATTACAAAATATGCATACCATGGTCATACACTACACACCCTGGCAAATACCAGATTGAGATTACTTATCTTCACTAGGGGTGTCCAACCTACGGGCCTGCGAACAGCTTTTATCTGGCCTAGAGTAAGCTGGAGTAGCTATTGAAATTTATTTTTTAATTAGGGTAATAGTTAACCATGAAAATTATCCCTCGCGATCGCAAAAATACACTTTTAAAGAATATCATGCATTCTCGGCGACACCGTCATCAAATCCGATTATAGCGATAAAACCCGTGAGCGTGAGCATATTGCGGTTACGGCAAAACCCTAATCGTCTCCGGAGATGTAGTAACACACGACAATTCTTGCGGTTTCGGCGATACAGTCATCGTCTCCAGCGGTAGCGGCAACACCCGTGAGCATATCTTTGCGGTCTCGGTGATACCATTCATTATCGTATCGGGCGGTGGCGGTAACAACTGTGACAAATATTGCTGTTTCGACTCGGCGGTACCGTCATCGTCTCCAGCGATAGCAATAACACCTTTGAGAATTATCTTGCGGTCTCGGCGATATCCATCTCCGGCGGTAGCGGCAACACCCATGAGCATATCTTTGTGGTCTCGGTGATACCATTCATTATCGTATCGGGCGGTGGCGGTAACAACTGTGACAAATATTGCTGTTTCGACTCGGCGATACAGTCATCGTCTCCAGCGATAGCAATAACACCTTTGAGAATTATCTTGCGGTCTCGGCGATATCGTCATCATCTCCGGCAGTAGCGGTAACACCAGAAGTGAGGTCATCTCGCGGTCTCGATCGGCGATAGCGTCATCGGCTCTGGCGGTAGCGATAACACCCGTAACCATATCTTGCGGTCTCGGCGATAGCGACATCACCCGTGAGCTTATCTCACGGTCTTGGCGATACCGCCAGGGAGTGGAGGGTGTAAGAAACCCTCCGCTTTGGGGAGAACTTAGGTCCCTGACAAATTACAAATAAAAGTCTTTAAAATATCGGTAGTCAGTAATGCGTGGGTGCTTGCACCCCGCCACTGAGTCTGAGGAAGTACTCGTAGTGGCAACGGTTGAAGACGTTGAAAATCCCTTGCTTGCCAGAACACGGCCCGGCTGTGGTTATAGCTATGGAGAAATGGGTGTCAGTGACCATAGGACCGGGGTAAGCATCGATAGCTCCAAATGACTGCACCAAGTAGGCGGTCAACATAAATTGGGGCACGCTGGCACGCACAAAACCCTTTCCGGTCAACCATGTGGCGCGCCAAAGGCGCAGGCCTCTCACAAATTGCAGAATAAGCCAATATGCAAATGGCAATTCATCCTTGAATGTCTCTGGCGATAGCGGAATCAGTGGACACAGTGTCGGACAAGAAATCGTAGGCCTATAGTGGTCGAGAAGCTTAAATTTTACAAATCTAGTTATTTGTAGAATGAGGCAGAAGCTATAGTCATGCTGTTTACCCCATTTTACTACGAAAAATCGTAATATTCCAGCTATTTCTTATTTGATCTTTTTTGAATTAAAACTGTTTAATAGGGAATTAAGAATGCTAATTAAAAGTGTTCTTGGCATTTTTTCATAACATTTTCCATTTTTGAGTAATTTGTTTAAAAAATTAAAATGACCACCAATTTGAAATTTTAGGTTAAATCAAAATGAATTCTTTTTCCAACATGGGTCTCTTTTACCTTAACATAAATACCAAGTTTCATAAAGATCGATTGAAAAAATTCAAAGATAAAATTTTTCCTGTAAAAAATACAAAATGGTGGATATTTGGTTAACAAAGCGATTTTGGAAAAAATGTTATCCTTGATTTTCTCCTTATTTTGACCCAAAGAATTACTACATAAATTATGCCTCCCACCTTTTTTGAACACCCTGTATAGTCTACACTTGGAGACTGAGTTGTCAACACAACAGTCTGTCAACACAATTTTGGATAACAGTTTCAGATTTGTTCTGCGTCTACACTAGCCAGCCAGTATTTGTTGGTATGGCATTGGCAACTGAAATAAAGAACGTGATTTTATCCTGTGCATGATTCTTACTTCTTAACCATGTGGCTGAGGACCGAGGAATGGTGGACTCTCGAAATTTCTCTAGCAAGGTTCACACATTAGTCAAAACATACTATCACTTTCGATAAGAATATGGCACAGGATTCAGAAACATAACAAGAATGACAATGACTCCTACAAATTTGTCGGTACTGTTAAAGGCTTTGTTAGGTCAAAGATAACAAAGAAATGTACGTGTTACAGGGCTGCAGTTTTATCCCTGGACTCCATGCTGAACTCCAGCGGGTTCGGGTTGTATCCAATCTTCTGTCTCCAAACAATTTCATACATGCAGACTCAAAAAGACTTGTATCTTGTCTCCAAGTTTCCCATTCATATGGGAAACAGAAAACACTGTATTTTGTGTCCAGGAACATGGAGATTTGTCTGCCTACAGTCACCCAACAATCTGGAGACATCGCAGATACAAAAGGCAGCTTTACCGAAACAGTCGGCCGTCAATGTTCACGGAGAAATTGCCAAGTACCTAGGCTTAAGCATATCTTGCGGTCTTTGTGATACCATCATCATATCTAGCGATTGTGGCAATACCCGTGAGCTTTGAGGATATCTGGCGGTATCGCCATTATGGTTTCCGGCAATAGGGGTAATACCTGTGACCATATCTTGCAGTATCAGTGCAGAGCATATTTTTAGGGATTTCCACTGGGCGACAGTGGCGCCAGACTTACAAGGGGGTCTGGAATACCGAATACCAATACCCCACATCAAAAAGGGGGCCCCGATGACAAGTGTCGTCCAGTAACATGTTATTTTATGCCCTGAGTGGCACATTAGTGATCGTGATCAAGTGATTTTCCAAAACGTTTATAAAACCAATGTAACACCGTCAATAAATAGGGTCTCAGCCATTTTTGAGATTACTCCTAGAAATTCTTGGTCCATACCAAATCAAGTAAGATTCACAACTTTTTCCAGTCATCAAAATTTATGTCAACATTGCCCAGGGGGTTCCAATTCTTCCGAGTACCTCCAATTCCTTACACATCAATTTAGCCAGGGATGTTCTTATAGGATCATGTTCCTTCTACTGATAACAATACATTAATAAGAATTTCTTCACCTGTCTGTCTCCTGCTTAAGCTTCATTCTCCTTTCAACCTTTCCTGTATTAATAATGCATGTATGTAATGTAAATGTGCTGGGGCTAGAGGGAAATTTGTAGGAAACTCTGGAGCAAAAAAGGCGGAGGCAGAATAGAGCTTACAGATCACTGTGAATTTCTAACATGTGGTGCCACAAGTCTCAGTATCAGTATATCCGTCTACAAACATGATTTTAAAATAAACCTGGGAAAATGTTCAAATACAAACTTCTCAGTTAAAAAAGATATCTGCTGATAGATAAGTAATATATTTTGACATTCAAAATACAATATTGTTATGTTTTGCAGTTAGCATAAAAGTAATTGGAAAAGATTGATAATTGATATGTTTACTATTTTTAAGTAAGAAACTATTAGATTTTGGATTTAAATTATTGATTCTGTGACATATTTTCTCACTGGTTCCACAATAAATTAATCAAAAGAGTATAGCATTTTTTATTATGTTTCATACTCTTCATCCAACTTCACATTTTACCTACATGTTGTTTTGTTAACAACATTTTAAATCAATTCTCCATGGAGGTAAAACACCCATTTGATGTGTGCAAGAGAGTTGTCTTCAGAAAACACAGACATTTTTCCTGTAACTGGGTAAAGGGGGAATTCCTTTTCACCAATCTGCAGCATTTTTATCTCAATATCAGCTACCTGAAAAATGTTTTTATTTTAGAAAGTCATGTAGTATTCTGATATTAAATACAAAACAGTGTAAATAACAACTTGTGTGTGGATGCATGACTGTTATGCCAGGTCTTGCCTGTTAGGCACAAGAAAAAAAAAACAACTAGTGTAAATAAATTAAAAGACTAAAATTTAACCTACAATATTTAACTAATTTTTTATAGTTACCTCAACTTAAAAACTATAGGTATACAGTAGAGTAAACTTAACAGCTTATATACAAACCTCACTCGGTTTCAAGACAATTCTCTTTTCTTTCACAGAAAAGGCTTGATTATCAATAGACAGTACAAAGGTCTTGTCTACCCTGAAAACGTTTTTGAAGGAGACAACTCTGGATGAACCTGGTTTTAGTATATACGGTCCCGTCGGTTCTGGATAGCTCACCACTCCTATCACTTGGAATCTAAAAAAAAAAAACACCATTAGATAAGGAAGAAAAATCAAGGTATTACGTGTAAATTACAAACAGAGTAAGCTATATGTAGTATACATAACTTACACATATTCCCCAGCCTGGAGTGATGTGGCAACTATGTCACAGGCCACTTCACCGAGGGAGGAAGGTTGGAACACAACCTGCAGTGGCCTAGACTCACCAGGACCCATCACAACTGAGGCAGCCACTGTTACATCTGGGTGTGAACTCTGAAAACATATGTTTTATTAACATTCTAAAAGTCTGATCCTAATTTGAAATAAAGTAACATACAGTAGGCCCAAGGCGTATACAAGAAGGTGCGTTAATCGCAAGGCGTCACCTCGTCCAGTTCGCGCAGCTACGTCACATGCAAGCCCCCCTACCCCGCCTTGGTGGCTCCGCCTACACAAACTGCTTGTTAAACGTGTTTTTTACTGAATCATGTTTTCTTGTAAATTTCCAAAGATGTTTGAATGTATATTCCACTATTAGTGTTATATTGAATATAGTGTTATACAAGCTATTTTACTCTTATGTTCCAGTTCTGATTCAGGTCATAAATAAGGTTTCGGAAAAATCTTCAGGTCATGATCTACTTCTCTTTTCAAAATATTATGAAAATAATATCACAACGACCACGACGATCATCACAATCAACGTCATTACGATTGACTTTTTTTTAAATAATCGTCATGTACTTTTTGGAAAGTTTTCTCAAAACGAGTGGTTAGTGTAATAAACTGTGGACTAATGAACACAGTTTCCTTGATTCAACAAATTGATCCATTTGGAATTATCTCCAGTAACATGGTTGTCCATACTTCCGAGGTGAGGGTATTTATTTTGAAATCTGTGGCAAACATATAGGTACTGAGTTACATACTTCACACCTTCTTCGGGTATCATTAAATTCTTCTTTATTTGTTTTACTTCCTAACACACACATTTGAACTTAATTTTTATTAGGTTCCACAGTATTTTCAGGTGACTTTTATAAAAATTAACTATTTAAAAGATCCTTAGTTATGGTTCTGTCTTCTCCGATGGGATCCTGTGCTGACAATGAACAGACAGCTTTATTTGAGCTATACCTTTACAAGCTATGCCACGTTTTAAGAAAACCAGTGGCGTCATGGCAATTTTAGCAGTGGAATGGTGCACCTGGCTCAGAACTGAGGTATAGGGTGCCCCCTAGCTTCCAACTACATGTAGCAGAATTGTTTATGTTATGATGTGAAATAGCCTTATTTAGCGTTTTTACTTTTTGACAAGCTTTCTGAGGTTATTTTTCATGCTGTCTGCTAACTTGTGTCAAAACTTACATATTTATTATATTGAAATACTGCAGAAATAATACAGACATACTCACCAGAATATAATTTTTTACCAATAAAATATATTGTTTGCTTTATTGTGTATTTTAAGTTAGAGTTTAAAATTATCCAAATATAAATATGAGAAACACTTTAAAATACTGTTAAAAAAAATCAAAATTATTGATTTACAAGTATTTTTTGTATATAAAAAGGCTTTTTTTTATATTATCGTTCATGAAACGGCATGCTAAATTAAGTCTTTGATGATTCTTAAACCACTTTTCTTCAAACCTTTTCTAATAAATTTTCAAACTTGTTCCACGTCTACTACTGCTAAAACTATTTTTGAAACATCTTTTATGTCGTCTGATCAAGTATGATGCAAAAACTGGGTTTAAAACAAGTCTGTGGTTTTGAAACAAATTCCGTATGCCTGTACAACTAACTGCAGTTGAAAATGGTTTTGGTTTGTTCTGTGTCATATATTTACCTATCTGATAACTGTACCAACTCTACCATACACCTGAGGTTTCCTCACCTTGCACTGGAAGGTGGCCTGTGTGTCAGTAGGGTTGTTGAGTGTTAGCTGAGTGGTGACCGACAGGCCCAGACTACACCTGACACATACAGGAGCTGCAGGCTCAGCAGGAGTGGCAGAGACTGTCAATGTGTCAGGGTAACTCCCCAGCTCACTACAGCTCAGCTCTAGAGGGAATGTTGAGTGATCACATGGCCACAGAGGGAAATATCTCAGCTTCATCTTCCCCTGTAACACACAATAAAAGTATACTATCGAATCTTGGTCTTCAAGATTTCACAACCTGGTTGAAACAGTGATAATACTAGCCAACATTCTATATTGGTTGCTACAATTTAGTTGATGGATTAATGGAATGGAAACAAAGTATTGTACAGTATCAAAAACACGGTAAACTCTCAAAGACCAGGTTGACAAAAGATAAGATAGTTTCGTTTAGTTCTAAATAAGATAGATTCCAGAATTGTTCACCTGTTGCAGCGACTGAACTTCCAGCGGAGTGTTGATGACTGACAGTCCCGGCACATCAACCTCACAGCTGACAGTCACAGGATGGTCCAGGGGGTTGTAGAACATCACCTCATGTAGCGTCTCCTGTCTCACATGGGTGTCTAGACAGATGTGTGTCAGAGGAGGACAGGGGGTGATGTCAAACACGACTTCATACCACTGGTAGTCACCCGATAACTCGTTAGTCAACATCACCTGTGGTCAAGGAAGTTGACAAAGTTTATTACATAAAAACTTAAGACTGTCTAAATAAACAAATAAATATAATGTGCTTTCTTAGACCCAGTAAATCAGTTTCATGAGATTGTTCTCCTTTAGAATGTCTACATAAATTCAACTATACCTATCAGTGTTAACCGGTTGAACCTACCTTAAAAACAACTGAGCCAGGGAAGTGGCATACAAACTTGAGTGTCATATCCCTCGTGTGAGAGCCTGACACCATGAACAGCTCGTTATAAATCAGCTGGAAGGTTGGACGGCTCAGTGTGGATGACAAGAGTTCGTGGCTTACACGGAACCTGAAACATGAAATGTGGATCTTATAAGTACTACTGCTCCTTAAACAAGCAAAGATGGAAGAGGGAAGCTCTTTTTAAAGTTCATGTTTTTTATATGTGTTAGAAATTTAATTCAACATTCAAAATTGCAGCTGAACGTGCAATGTTATTTATAGCAACATTCTCTTTGATGGTGCAATTACGATTATTGAGAAAGTCGGTGAGTAGTGTAATGGATGTGTGAATTCAACAATAAAATAGACAAAATTGTTTACATGAAAACAGACTAGCATTGAATTAGTGTATTGGTAAAGTAGTCTTCAAAGCTACCGATTATGGACGGCTAATAAATCCATAAGATTAAATTCTGGCTCTGTGCTCTTTTCATAATCATTCTATCTACCCCTGCACTGTACCAACATTTCCCTTGCCTCGCTCCATGTATTCCCTGCATATTCCTGTTGCTTATGTGGTAGATGCTTGACCGGGAGTGTTAGATGGGTTAGCGTCTCAGACATCAGTGCTAGAGGGAAATGTTTGATCTCTGGCATATGCACACAATTTTAAGGGGATTGGTCCGCTTTCCCTTAAAAGAATTTTTTAATTCTTTCAAACAAAATGATATGGCGTGGAGTGGATACAAAAAAGTTAGTCCAGTATTGACACAGCAAATCACTTGTTATGTGATTTACATACTAAGTACACTCACTTCTGAGGGGTCTGTAACCAGTTGTGTACAGGCACCAGCAATGTGTGTTCTGTGTGTGTTTCCAACTGAGTCACCAATCTGTCTGATCTTACAGGTTCTGTGGCTGTCCCCTCCAGGCTGTAGACTAAACAGGTCCCGTCAACACAGTAGAATATGGCAGTGCCCTGTTTACAAAAATATACAACTATATTGTATCGAGTCAAACTTCTCTAAAATGTTTTACAAATGTTGTTATTTAGACTACACTGAACAATTAACGATGAACAAAAATATTAGCATAGCCTTGAAACACCCCAATTGCATAATTGATGAAAAATTTGAAAAATACTAACAATAGATATAGGTCTGCTAAATTGATGTTTTATACAATACAAAATACTTAGTGGACCTTGTGAGGTTGAGCTCGGGAGGTCATGGTCAAAGGAGAGTAGGTGATCTCAAACATATGCGTGCCGTAGGGAGGGATCATCACAGCACAGTCACCTGAGAAACATTCACCACTGATGTTGGCTGTCAACTTGACCTCTTGGCCGAATCTGCAAGTCAAGCAAAGAAAATTGAAACATATCTAACAAATATATTACAAATCACACTCTCAAATTATAAAAAAAAGATTATCCCTTTCTGCTATAGGAATTTCTTATTGATTTGATTATGCCTGTGAAGGGTGCGCTCTACCTCAGCCGTTTTGTTTAAACGCAAGGGTCTGGGGCAACTGTGTTTCCGAAGGCTACACTTAACGTAGAATCAAAGTTAGGGTGGAATTTTTAAGAGGATTTAATTATCTAGATTGTTGTGGTTTCAATATGTTTAATATCGTACCAAAAAACCTGAAAATCTTCTTTGAATGTGGACGAAAATCCACAATTTTAGACTGCTTTCACTCATTATAGAATCGTTACTTTAAAATTCTAAAACCAGGGTCGCATAGATTTTTCTTTGTTCTGTAAAACCCCATTCATTGTTTTTTACTAGAATGTATGGGTAGTTTACAAAGAAAGTTGCCCTGAACGTCTGCAAGGGCTTCTCAAGGCGCTGTTCAATGGCACAACATAGCTTCTGAAGCCCGAGCTAAGATTTCCGAGCTGAGGTAGAGCGCACCCTTAATATCTTATTTCCGCTTCCACTTGTGAACACATCTGAAATTTGTTAAAATACGTTTTTTGTGGACATACATACAGTAGGGATGAGTAAAATTAAGCAAATTTAGATCAGAGGTGGAACTCGAGGAACACTAGCACTAAGTTTTAGCAATTATGTGGATTTTATTTGCCACAAAAACTTGAAGAAGTCTCCTATGATTGTAGCAAACATTGTAAATACATGGAGAGTGCAGCTCACAAGAAAAAAAAAACTATCCTTTCAATATTCACATACCGTCAAATCAAAATTGTCATCACTTATTGAGTTCAAACAGGTGTGAAATGCTTAAATTTCTCAGAACCTTTGTCACCCAGTAAGGGATAAAATCTTACTGACTAAGGTTTCTGTTGTATTACTTGTTGAACACAGGAATGTGCGTTGCCGTTGTTGTTCGCACAGGACAGGACAGAGGGATGGTCATGGAGGGAGGAGGAAGTTCTACACAACCACCAGACAGAGTGATGATCAGCTGTTGGCCACTGGTCAGGGTGCAAACCGCCTGGGGAAACACAATGCTAATATAAATGATACTTTTAGTCTTTTAATCGAAACATTTATATCATATTTATAAATTACTTTCCTTTTTCCAGTGTTGTAATTAATATTTTTGCTACCACCTTAGCATATATCTATGAGAAATATAAGAATAGCTGATTACCAATATCAGTGCTGCCCAATAAACAGAAGGTTGCCACTTCAACCCATATAAATTTTGTAGTGGTTTGAAACTGGAAATCGCTGTCCTTGATAGTCGAGCTGTTAATAAATCTCACGTGATCTTAAATTACCCAAAACAAGACAAATCGGTGATTTCGGACTATTATTCAAAAGTTTTAATTTCCCGATTCTTTACAAAATTTACTTAAAGTTCACGGATTCTTTCCCGACATTAAAATTTATAGACGATTCCCAGTTTTCCCGGTTTTGAGGCTGGACACTCCGCTAGACCCTGAGTCCAGCCCCTCATACATTACCTTGGCATGTTCAATCAGTTGAATCTTTTGCGGTGAAAACTTGACAGTAAGAACAACATCAGTGCCTGCCGCAAGGAACCCTTCACTTGGAGATATTGAGAACACTGAGTCACTAACTTGCCAAGAAAACCTACAAAACACATCAACAACCCAACACAAATAGTTTTAATTGAATATGAATAGGCCTACAGTTGATTCTTGACTATCCAACACTTAATAGTTTCCTACACTCAGTAATTCAATGATGGGATGAAGGAGACTGGTCACAATCTGTACAAAAGTGGTATTTGATTTGTGTTGTGAAAGGAACCTCGCATCTTACTTTTCACTCATGGGGACCAATTTTACTATGTGGTCCTTACAGTGAAAAGTAGTGATTTAGAGTATACCTACTTACTATATACCTACTTACTCTTAAAAGACTCAATAAACTACTAGTGAAAACTAGCTCTGAAGGATCATCTATATATGAATTCAATAATATTAAATTGTAATCAGTAATTTGTTGAACACCGTAAATACATAAGCACTAATTAAGATAGCTCTTTCCGACTAGAACATCATATGCATGTTTAGGTTTGAAATTATACTAACTATAGACTCTTTACAGACAAAGCACAAATCCCCACCTAAAACAATATAGCTTACAGTTTTGCTTGCATTAACATTCAAAACATAGCTACAGTTACTGCTATTAAAACTACAAATATTCAATTTGTAGAGTAACAAAGAATCTAACTGAATTCTAAGAACTGAATCTAAGCCATTACATACTTGACAGCCAAGTCACCGTTGTTGGAGAGCAACAGTTTACTGGTCGGAGAGTTTCCGATGACAACACTGCCGAAGGGTAAGTAGTCTCTGTCAATCTTAACACTGACCCCCACAGAACTGGCTTGTACTAGAGACATCACCTTCCTGACACCTCTGAAGTTCAAAACTAGCTGAAAACATAAATAAATGGTTTGTATAGAAGAAATTTGTGATGGTTGGAAATGTCAAGTCTCGATACCGGATCTTCAATGTCAAAACCTAAATGCGTAACTGTTTTACTTACCTGACGAAGGCTATAAATAAAAATCTATAATATTAAAACGAAACAGTGTTTTTTTATTTCACGATTCTGAATCAACCACTTGACGGATTTTCATGATTTTTGTGTTGAAAGAAAGATAATTTTGTGAACTAGGGAATGTCGAAGCCATAATTTTAGTTTAGGGTCCCAGTTTTTTTAAAAATTAAGTTTTAATTTTTAAAAAGTCTAGCAGCCGACGCTAAGATTCTAAACTAGCTTTTGGCGTAAAATAATTTGCTTAACATAACAGCTGTAAACATTCAGCTTTTGTGTCACAAATTCAGCATTTGGATAATATACATGCTTAGGGTTGACGTATTTATACTATGTGTAATGCTATGCTCATTGTACGTCCATTTTATGGGTAAGAGGATGACAGACTATTTAAATATTCATGGTTTAATGATAGATGTTCTAATTTATTTTTTAGAGCAATCTTTAAAATTTTAAGTTTGTTTTAGTGCAACATAATTTGTTTTAACTAACAGCTGGTTGAATATAAAAGTTGTCTTTCAAACTAACAGGTTAGTTTATTATTTTGTGATGTTGGCATTGAATATAGAAAATAAGTAAGATTCAAGATTCTATAACGACTGATGTATACAAATCGAGGCTCTGCCCCCGAGTATTCAAAGGAAAAATTATGCAAATTATTTTTCTGTTCGACTTTTTGAGGAAAGAATAGGAAAATGTGTACATGTTTTAGTTCATCTTGGCAGCTTTTTGTTTTCAGGAAATGGTTAACTGCTTGAACTTTGCTTGGATTAGAAATGGAAATATTAATATAATTTCAGTTTTTGTTGACTTCTCAATCCCGTACGTAGGACAGGCCAACAGCTCGTAGTAATAATAAAATATTTATCACGGATTCAAAGCTGAAAGAATAGTCTGACTCTAACACCTGATATTTTAAATCTTGACATTCACCAACCAAACATCAAACCTGAAACTTTTGTGTTGTTACTTTTGAGTTTGAGATTTGAGATTCGGTTTTGACACATCACTTGTGTAAGAAATATTGAAAACCACCATAATTAAAATAAAATCTATCTAAAACTATACCATCTCAACATGAGGTAAAAGCTGTGATATTCTGTCAATTCTAGACTGAGATAATAAATTATCTACGTAATTATTGCCACAGTTGAAGAAATAGTGATCTCACCTCCTGCTGCAACCCCTTGACCACATTGTCGGGTGTGAAGGTGAGTCTCAGTGCTGCAGTCTGGTGACACCTCAGGGCGACAGGCTCACTAGGGCTGAGGCAGAGTGAAGACAATGGTGGCTCTAGAGCAAAGGAAGCTGTGACACTAGCCTCACTGTTGTTCACAATCTCTACAGTCCTATGCTTGACTTTACCTACCAGTACACCCTCTAGCTGTATCAGCTTATCCTCTGGCTTCACTAGCATCACCTGCAATCAGCACACTAGAGTTACCTGCCCCAATATGACTGCGCTATTAACTTCGTGGATCAATTAGTGGTTTTGTTATGTCCACTGTTAATATGAATTTCCTTAACTTATGAACGTGAAAATAAAAGTTGCTTTAAAACAAATTTTGGTGTACACATACTAGAGGTCCTTTTTTACTTCTTCAGGAGACTTCTTTACTTTTGGGTCAGGTCGGGTTGTGAAAAAATCTTGGCCTTTGGGTGTCAGGCCCGAATTGGTTTGCTATGGAAAGTATTAAAGTGGCAAAATTGAAAACATCTTCCGCAGTCACTACAAAACCAGAACGCTTTTTTAGGTCCCTTTGATTGTTTATTAGGTCCCCTAAGCTTTCTAAGATTGCAGGTTTGCCCTAAATTTTAATGTTGGCCCGACTCGACCCGATAACATGGGCGACCCGCAGACCACTATCACACACAGAAGATAGGCAAAAAGCGGCAAAATGCCTGATTCCTGGGGGGTAAGCTTGAGCAATTGTGCTCCAAATGACACTGCTTTAAACAATGTTTGTTGTTTTACATTTGCATATAGATAGTTAGTTGTAAGAGGAAGTTTATGTCCGTAGTAATGAGTTTAGATGTAGCTCAAAGAGTAAAATGTGTAATTCTTTAATTTGTTTTTTTGACATGTAGGCTAATTTTTATGTCTTTAACTCTACATAATAAATAAGATTTTTTTCATTCTGACTGTTTCTGCTAGTTGGACTTTGTATTATTAAATTAGCTAAGAATTAAGTGCAATCAGTTTGATCTTGAGGTGGTTTGCTACAATAACAAGATATCTACTGACAGTTCAATGCCAAGTTCCAACAGCCACTTACGTTGAGGTCCACTCCCCTGCCACTGATGTTGACCTGGTGGTGGTAGCTGCCATCAACCAAGAAGCTCAAAGTCTCCTCATACAGTTGGCAGTCCTGGGGAAGGAACGTGACAGGAATACGAACCTCGGACCTCGGGTCCACAACAGTCTGGCAAAGTCCAATCTTTAAGTGGGGCTTTGGGTCAAACTCTGCCTCAATCCTGTGACATAAATTAAGTGAATTTAAATAGAAAATGTTCCTTAGTAACAAATTACCAATTATGTTTAAAAGGGCAGAAGGGATAGAAATAGCCAAAAGTAGTAAATGCTATATTTTAGCCAATTACAGAGTCCATTAGTCTCTTGGCACAGAAAACATACTACTATAACCCAGAATGCCAACCGCATGGTAAAAAGCATTAAGTGTTTTGAGAGAGCTTTGCCTGTCAATCGTAGGCAGCGCCGCCAACGCTGGTGGCTTTCTGTGCTCTTGGTAAGCGTCACAGAGTCATCTTAGTTTCCAATACCGTACTCTATGTGACATTAAAGATTACATGATTGATTAGTGGTCCTTTCCGCATGGCTGGGTTAAAGTGTTTGTTGTATGCAACATAAATCAGCAACTATACTCTGTCAGTGGATCAATTCAACAAGGTTCATTTTCATACTGAAACTAACAACAACTTCAACATGAGCTGTACTACTGTTAAATCCATTATATTGAGCAGCAGGCATGAGTAAGTCTCTGGCGCTGGTTTGACGGGTTGTTGGCGGCTTGTGTGAATGGACTTTTAGGATTAGTAAATTCAATTTCATCATGTTTAGTTTGAATAGTTTGATTTATGTTTAGAGGTTAAGTGGTAGAGAGGACATGCAAGTCCTAACTTCACCTCTTAAATACATTTTTATTTCATGGGGATGTATACTAGTTCCAATTGTCAAAGGTATTAGACACCTGTCATTGCTATGTACTAAGAAGTATGAAAAATAACAAGTAAGCATTTGTTATCAGCGACTGCTTTAACTCCTCATTTGAACTGCACTAAAGCAGGGCCGTCCCTAGGGTTGGCGGCGCCCGGAGCAAATGTGGTCGTGGCACCCCCTCTACCCCTGTGGGGTTAATACTATATCAATACAAATAGCCACGGCTAGCTTGCCCCGGTTGCCCCCCCCCCCTTCGGACGGCCCTGCACTAAAGTAGGCACAAGTAAAACATGCAGTGGCAAAAACTGTGTAAAAACTAATTTCTAAATTAAAATATTTGATAAAATTCTTCCACTTACAAAAGAGGTTTTTCATCAGTATTTGTAAACACTAAGTCTGTTTTGTATGCTTCCGTACCAGGTGGCAAAACAAAACAAGCACCAAAGTCATGTTTTGTTTTTGAAAACTTGAATTGAGGTTGGGCTGCAGTACCACTCAGATATATTGTGAATTTTGGACCTTTACTAATCTGGAAAATAAATTCATGTAAGGTAAATTTTCATGTTGTTGCATATTATAAAATATGAAAATATAATAAAACAAATTCAAGACCCATGATTTACTTTTCAAACAGGTTGCTGACTGGTTTGGGATTGGAATACACAACAACAATAATTTTTAACTGCCTGGGTAGCCAAGTAGTTATAATGGTTGCCTACAAATCTGGAGGAAGCTGTTTTAATTACAAGCTAGATTGACTCTGCCTCAGATGCCATTTGTCATAGGACTATCAATTATTGACGCTCTTTAACAAAAGGTTCTGAGGTTAAATAGTAACAAGACATAGTTGGCTCATTCCCGTATAAAAACATCAAAAATTACATGGATAAGAGAATTGAGCAGCTAAACAGTTGACTGAAGTGAATTGAGTTGGAAGACATAATCCCCAAAAAGGTAGACTGAACCGTGTAACTTAAATTATTACTCCTTCTCTACGAGTGAAATTTAATAAAAGACAGCTTTTATTCCAATAAAAAAATCATGAATTATTTCTTGCTTATGAAACAGCCATCTCTATCACTAAATAAACACACATTTAATTGTGCTAAAAAAACTAACCACAAATTCCAGTTTTACTCTAGAGAAGACAGTCCTTGCGAGTGGGGTGAAAACAACATTAATCAGCTGTTTAGACTGTGAGCTGACCAGACCAGTTTGGTTGACAACACTGATAGACAGCTGATTGTTACTAGCCACCTCAGGACTGCAGTCACAGCTGTAGTGAAAAGCAGGTTTGCCAATGTTGATCAAGTGAAATATCATGTTGACCGGGATGCGAACTTCTGTCTGTAATTATCAATATAGTGTAAAAAATTAGATTAGTCGGTGATAGGTTGTTTAGATAACACTACAAAAGCATATCTTTAGGTTTAAACTTCTCTTCGAACCTTGTGCTTGTGTTGTAAACATGATAAAAGAATCAAGTATCACATTTTGTAAGTTCTTTGCCAGTTGACAGACATAAATTGACAAAAAGGAATCTCAGAGGTGGTCATAAACATTTGCACAATGTAGGAGGGTAGGCAACAAATACAGCTGTTTGTCAGTTTTTTTTTCAGGCAGTAAGTAGAGTTAGTGAAATTTTGTATTGTGGTATGACTGACTGTGAGCAATTCTTCTAGGTTGTCTCTAAGACCACCATAGACAACACGACAGTAAACAACGCAAATTCGCAAATCAAACCTTCCACAGCTTAAATAACTGTGTCGATGAAAACACCTGCGGCCAGCTTTGTTGTGCGAATGTCATACACACATAGCCTTCTAGAATTTCACTAAAAGCCACTTATGCCTTCTATAATACTTTGTTTACATGCGCCAACTGGCAACAGATTAAAATAGGGCTTGACTGACTTCCCTCAGAAACCTAATCAAAGAATGAGATTAATTTTTTGAGGGATTGTCATTTATCTTTTTATCATTAACAAATACCATGGCGAGAATTCTTTTTATTGGGTTGGGAGTCGGCTTGAATAGAAGTGAGAAAGTATAGAACATGGCATTGTTGCCATACTTAAACCACCATGCTTGGTCAGGGCTAGAACTGATTTGATTCTCAGGCAACACTTTTATAATATTTTACGTATCCTTGTATTGAGCCTAATTGTAACACTCTGTTATTGATATTGACACAGCCAGGTTAAATACATATTTGTTCCTGTTTTACCTAACAACGATAAAAAATTGCTATGCTTGAAATGGAACCTAATAAAAATTTGACTACAGTCGGACTAAAAAATGAATGAAGTGTTCAATTTGAATTTTAAACATTTTGCGCTGATAAAAAAGTTAAAGAAAAGTTAAAGTTAAAGTTGTGAAACAACTTTGTAAAACTTGACTTACCACACCCAAATCAATGTTGTTGTCTTCATGAGCAAAGATGTCCCGCTGTATTCTGTTACAATCTACATAAACCAGCTGAGGCTGAACAGAGAAGCATTGTGCTGCCACGTCCAACGTGAGAGAATCTTCTAGTCTCTCTACTGCCAACTGCATTGTCAAGTGACCCTCACCTGGATGTGTGGGACATAGCCACACCCTGTCACATACAAGGCACATTAGGACCCTTTGATAGGCATGTGTTTATGGGTCAAATGATATGGGATCATACTTCCCTCCCACCTCTTGCCATACCACAGCAGCTCTTAAATTCTGACTACCCTCTATCTTGTTTTCCAAAAGTTAAAAACAGAACAAAGATTTCCCATGTTGAGTACCTGGTCACAAAGAGATGTATAAAGAGGTTTAAAAAAATAACCTCCCAAATCAAAACTGGCAAGAACTCATAAGAAATAAATGCTCTGCTGGGTGTTTTGTTCATTATTATGTCAGTGAAATACGTAGGACTAAGCGATATTTTACTGCAGCTGAAGATGATGTTGTCGTGATCACAGGGAATGATCAAGGATTTTGCCGGTATTGTGGCAATAGTTATGTCACAATAGTATTGTCACAATAGTTTTTGGTTGCCTTCAGAGGTACGGTTGCCTTCAGGTACCAACACATCACTATCCCTTATACCTAGACCCTGTGGTATGAGCAGTGCAATTGTTTAGTGTCTAAAAAGCCAGAGAGATAAAAGAAGCTCTGATTCTTCTAGTCACTCTATTACCATCTACTAATAGCACTTATCTCAAAGTCTACTTTTACAGTGCTGACCTAAGTTCCACCTGAGATTGATTTGGGAGCACACCCTTCATTGGATGGATTTGTAGAGTTTGTCCCCAGGTACTAAAGTGCAGACTGTTGGCATCAACTGCAAACTTCAGCTCAGTTTCTTCATGGTTTACCAGCACCACCTTTCCCTCACTGCGAACCCCTGAAAAATAACTCCAAAAATACATTTAGGATAGCTTACAGACAGGCAGTCAGTTTCAATATTTACATTAAAGAATAACAGCTCCCTTCATAAATTTTTATTTTCTAGTTAGATGTTAGGGTTGTGTAAACATTTTATTTCACTATTTTTTACAATGTATCAGCATGTAACTAACAAAATTAGACCACTGAATATTCTAATAATATATATATATATATATATCTTGCAAGACTAGACAATATACAGTACTCACGATAAGCTGTTTCAACCAATCTAATCTAATCTAAGGAATCTAATCTAATACACTAACCAATGAGCGTAGGCCGCAGCTGAATAAAAGTAGGAGATAGTGTGACATAAGGTAGAACAGCTTCTCCCAACAGTAGGATATCCTGCTGTATCTGTCTTTCAGGAACACTCAGCCTCCAGATGGACTTGTAGCTGCCAGTGTGGCTTGGTGTGAAACTGAACATTACCTACAAACATAGTAAACCTAAGCACTTTTGTAACGTTGTTCGAACAATTTATCAATACAATCATACATTAAAAGTTTGAGTTATTTTATATAACTAATATTTTGCTTACCTCAACATGTTTTCCTGGAGAAACTTGACTGACAGGCCTTGAACATCCAAACGCTGACAGTTGAACTTGATCTGTTTCCCTCCAATAAAATGTGTAGTCTTCATAAGTGGTGTTGACCACTTTGATACATCTGTAAGAAAACTAATTGAATAGTTCTCTTTTAATTAAAATTCAACCTAAACTAAATAAATGAGTCTGTGAGTTGGTGGTATTTACTCAGGGGAGGTACAGAAGAGGCTACGATGACAGCTGTGGGCTTCTTATTAGCTGAGGGAACGCTATTACCGTAACAATACGGATTGTGGACAACGGCTTCGGTGGTCTAGTGGTTAGCATGCCGGGCTGGCGTGCAAAAGGTCCCGGGTTCGAATCTCGCTGATTGCATTAACTTTTTGTCTCAGATTTTTTTCATTATCAGCAAGTTTGGTTGGTTTGGTTCGGTTATGACAGTTTAATTTTATTATTAAGTCATTATAAAATTTTAATTGAGCAATTTCTAGTTTTATTTAATTCTTGTATTCTTGTACTGAACAGGTTTACACCTTGATTTTCTTGATATAATCCATGCACAGGCCCTTGAAACCCTTTTAGATCAGCAAATTATGGGTTTAGAATAAATTTAATTCAAAATTAGTTCCTTAAGACAGCAACACTCAAAAGAGGTGGTCAATCTCTTACTAAGAGCTACATTTATCGGACTCACTTAGTGACCGGCTTCTTGATGCCCAAAGCTCTAAACTTGATCTGCAGCTGGTTAGGGTCACTGGTGGGGAGACAGTCAGGCACTACCAGGTGACAACATGGCAGCATGCTGGAGCCATCTACTTTCACCTCCACCAACTCTGCATTGTCCAGCCTGGAACTCACAAATATGACGCTACAGTTGTAGACAAGCTATCGCAAACCAAAGGGTTGGGTCTGTATGCTAAGCCGGTTATTGTCCACCGATGTGGAGGACCATGCTTTATTGCTACAACTCGACCGAGTTTACACTAAAGAGGACTAGTCACACAAAACATTACAACAGCTCTCGCACAGTTTGTAGAGGTTTATTGTGAATAATCTAATCAACTGATGGACAGTGCTGTACAAAACAAGAGTGCAAACAGGAAGAGAGCAGGGCTAAGAGGCAACCAGCCAATGGAAAAAAATGGCGTCATTGATAGTAGTGAGGAAGTATGGTAGGAGAAGGGGAGGACCATGAATTATGTGGTGCATAGTACCAAGTGTAAGTGTAACACTGTGCAGTGTTTTGATGTCAATTTCTTTTGGTGCAATTGCAATACAGTTGCCCCATTTGAAAAAAAGAATTACGGAAAGTAAATAAAAATATGTCCTGTAACCCTTAAAACACATATTTAAACTTATACTGTTAACTCACAAGAGTCAAAGAAGGTAAATACGTGGGTTGTCCAGAAAGTAAAGAACGTTTCGTTATGACGCCGCTAGGCGCGCGCCGATCTCGTACATTTTGTTGCGTACGCACTCGGCAACTGTTTTAAATTTAAATTTGTATTTGTATTTTCCTATCTCATATTTTTATCTTGTATTTGTATACAGACAGTTTGTAAAATGGTTGTTGATGACGAAATTATACCAGTAGTACATTGTACTGAAATTCCTAGCTCTGAACTTTTCAACTTTGATAATTTGAATGAAAACAGTTTAAATTCACTTTCTAGCTTTAAGATCCTACACCAAAATATTAGAAGTTACAAGAAAAACTTCGATGAATTGTTGGTAGTTTTACAAGGTATTAAGTGCAAATTCAATTGTATCGTGTTAACTGAGGCATGGCTGAATCATGACAGCGATCTTATGACCATAGACGGCTATAAGACTTTTAGAAGTTACAACAACCTAAATCAAAGCGACGGACTAGTTATCTACATTGATAATTCGTTATCAGTGTCTTGCAGCCAGCTATTGCTCGGTGGCGTGGCTACGACCCTGTCCTTGACCTTCAACTGGGCCGGTACAATGTGTAACCTGCTTTGTGTTTATCGTAGCCCCAATTCATCGTTACAAATATTTAATGACAATTTGAAAGAATATTTAGAAAATTACGGAAATAAATCAGACATCAGTATTTAGTAGGCGATTTTAACTGTGATATCATTCAACCTATTCTTAATTCACAAGAAGAGCGATATCTAGATATATTATATGACTTAGGTTTTGTAGCTTGCATTGACAAAATAACACGTCCTGTTAGTCATACGTGTATTGATCATTTCTTCATACGGTTGCCGCCTTCCATCACGGCTAACTCCGCAGTTTTACAAACAGAAATTACAGATCATTTTAGCATCTCATTAGAAATATGTAAAAAAACGTCCTGTAAAATGTCCACTAAAAACCGTATATCGAAAATAGTTGAGTGGCATAGCGTTAGCAACGATTTAATCTCTTGTAATTGGGACTCAATTTTGAAATCAGAAAGTGTTGACGACGCATCAGAAATGTTAAATAATAAACTTCAGTCAATCTTAAATTCAAATACAGTTATTGAAAATAAACCTGCTAAAGTTTCCAAAATAAAACCTTGGATAACAGTTGGACTCCTAAAATCAATACGCTTCCGAGATAAACTAAGCAAACAAGTTCAAAACCGTCCTTTCAACGTTCAGTTGCGTACACGATTTTTAAGATATAGGAATATCCTCAAGTCATTAATTAAGCAAGCCAAATACATTTTTTACAAAAATAAAATCGAAGATGCAGACGGAGACTCCAGAAAATTCTGGCACATCGTAAATGAGGTCGCAGGACGTCCAAGTAGGAAGGAAAAATTCCCAATAGAAGCATTCTGTGCGCACGATGGCACTGCCACCACTGACCAGATAAAAATTGTATGCAATGATTTAAATAATTATTTTGCCTCTGTGGGGTCACAATTAGCAAGCGCGATAAAGTGCGATGGGCCCCCAGAAATCGACGATGCCGCACATGCCACGGACAAAGTATTTTCCCTGAGGCCGGTCACCCGGGCTGAACTTCTCGAAGTTGTGAAGACAATTAAGGGGAAATCGGCTCCTGGGTGGGATGGCATCCCAACGAAACTTGTAAAATCAAACATTGAAATATTAGTTCAGCCTATCTTGCACGTAATAAACTTAAGTATTATTTGTTTGTTATTTGTTATGTTAAGAATATGCCAAACTATCTATGTAACAATGTAATATATAATTCTAAACTCGTACAGTATGCTGACGATTCTAATCTTATTGTATCTGCTAAATGTCAGATTGATTTGGAAGTAGCAGCTCATATAGAATTATCACAAATCCAAGAATTTTTTGTAAACAATCAATTAATGCTAAATTCACAAAAAACTAATTTTATTTCTTTCAGCACTAAGCAGAACAAAAATAAGTGTAGCCCTCATATTTTTATTGACAACAACACAATAAATCAAATTGATTGTACAAAATTTTTAGGTATCCATATTGATGAATGTCTTAGGTGGGATCATCATGTAGGAAGCATTGTGCGTAAGGTAAATTCTGGAATCTATGCCTTGAAAAGAATGTTTTATTTAAGTGACCTAGCAACATTAAAAATAGTTTTTCATTCCCATATCCAATCACATATATCTTATGCAATAGTAGTGTATGGAGGCACTTCCCAGAAAAATTTAGATAAGATACTTGTTTTACAGAAAAAGGCAATAAGAATAATGTTAAATCTAGATTATAACGAGTCTGTAAAGCAACATTTTGTCAATTTGAAACTATTAACTGTGTTTAGTTTGTACGTACTGGAATGTATCGTACATGTAAAAAATAACCAGGAAAAATTTAAAACGCATTGTGAAACCCATCAATACAACACTAGAAACAAAAATAATATAGTTCTACCGAAACCCAACTTAGAAATGTATAAAAATAAGCCCTCATATGCCGGTGTACAGTTTTTAAAGTTAATACCAAATGAAATAAAAGATATTAAGGATAAAAAAAAGTTTAGACAAAAACTTAAAGAATTTTTGATAGAAAAACCCATCTACTCAATAGATGAACTTTTTATGAATGTATACAGCTATAGATAGTTTTATTTTCTGTATTTTTTCTTTAGGTTAAGTATTTGTACATAGTAATTATAAGCTTGACACTATTTATTGTACGTTTTGTACATAATATAAATAAAGATAATTTGAATTTGAATTTGAAGTATACTGTCCGGCAAATTTCCAAAATGTTTTAAAACTGCCAAAGTCACGCCAATTTACAAATCTGGCCAAAAAAACATTGCATCAAACTTCAGACCAATCTCGTTGCTTGGTGCAATATCTAAAATTCTTGAAAAATGTGTTAAGAAACAATTAGCTTTTTACCTTGAAAACGAAAACATTATCAGTGATTCACAATTTGGGTTCAGAGCATGTAAGAGCACAAGTCATGGATTGTTCGACATTAATAAATTTATATCAAATAAATTAAATTCAAAACAACGTGTAATGGTGACCTTTTTAGATTTAGCAAAAGCCTTTGACTCTATTGACAGACATAAACTTATCAACAAATTGGAATTTTGTGGACTAGACAAGCTCTCCCTTGACTGGTTTAGAAGTTATTTAGAAGACCGAGTGCAAGTTGTTACAATCGATGGTGTCACAAGTAATAAAAGAAACATTGAATTCGGTGTGGTCCAGGGAAGCAATCTTGGGCCTTTGCTCTTCCTGGTTTATATAAATAATATATCAAAACTAGAAACAAGAAGCAAATTATTCTTGTTTGCAGATGATACGGCAATGGTGACTACAGGCTGCACGTGGGATGAGGTGTATGAGCGGGCATCGTCCGACTTACTTAAGTTGAAAAATTGGTTGGATCATAATTCTTTAACTTTAAACGTATTAAAAACTAAATGTCTTCCAATTTTTTTAAAGAAGGAAAGTGATCCGAGCCCGCGTCATTTACGTTTGCACTCCTGTGGTGATCCGTCGTCACGTGACTGTGATTGTAACGTCATCGAACGTGTGTCACAATACAAATATCTGGGCATAATTATGGACGAAAAATTAAGCTGGGTTCCTCACGTGTGGTATGTCAAGCAGAGGCTTAGAAAATTAGTATATGCATTCGATCAGCTGGGCCAGGTGCTGACGGTGGATCACTGCAGGATGGTGTATTACGCCTATGTGCAGTCGGTGTTACAATACGGTGTCCTGGCATGGGGTGGCGTCTCGTCAGCTGTGTTAGAGCCCTTATTCATCTCACAAAAATCATTGATTAAAAAAATTCTTAAAAAACCTTTCCGTTACTCAACAGACCAGCTTTTCCTTGACTTTCCAGTACTAACCGTCAGACAGCTTTTCATAAGAACATTATTATTATTCATTAAATCCAATAAAGAACAAATATTTTCTGAGATTCACCATAGGTACCCTACAAGAAATCGTTTAAACTTTGGCTTCAGTTGCCCAAAATCTATTCTTACGACCACTAACAAAAATTCATTTTATATTGCTCACGTCCTGTACCGTAATCTTCCAACAAACATTATTGAGGCTGAGAGTTGCAGTGTTGCTGTTTATAAGCGGATGATCGGCGAGTGGCTCGCGCACATCGGGCGGACTGCTGCAGAGGCTTTGATCCAGTCGGTCTATATTCCAAACGTCTGATATTGTCATGATTCAGTCATCGATCACATTTTTTATATTTATATATATATTTTTTTTTATATTTTACTTGTAAAACATTGTAATCCATATTGTTTCTGTATGGGATTCAGCCCATTGTGTTGGAATAAATACAATGGGCTGAATCTTGTACAGGGTAGTGCGACGTTGTGTTTAATGTTAAAAAGTAATTCACCTCATTTTAGAATTAAAATTTTGTTAGCATTTAAAATACAGTTATTTAGTTTAGAGCTTAGATTTATTTAGTTTATGTGTTTAAAATAAAAAAGTGCAGTGACTCGAACAATTTTACAATACCCATAGACTGATGATATTGTTAACTCTTCCCCCGATCACGGATCAATAGTCTATTCGGGGGAATAATTCCTTTTACTTACTACAATGTATTGTAATATTGTTTTTATTTTATGGAATAAATAATTTTGACTTGACTTGAACTCAGTCGGCGTCCAGCCGTGCCATCGGGAGTGTTCTAGCGCTGCCCGTTTTTTCACAATTTCAACTTAAGATGAGCGCTGCAATAAAAAATCCCGCCAGTTAAGAGGTGCGGTCAGTGATACGGTTTGTGTTGGCATTAAACTTAAAATCGATAGACATTTATCGCCAAGGGTATGAAGTTGAAGGAAAAAAACGTAATGATTGAAAGTTCTGAGAAAATGTTGCATTCAGATTAAAAATGGCCGATCTGACGCTCATGAGTCATGACGAAGCGAAGGGCGGACGCCGAGCATTATGACTGGTGGAACTGGTCGCTAAAGTCGATGAAAAGGTTCGCAAAAACCGCCGATTCCCGATAACGGGTCTTTCGCTTTGTTGCGTGACAATTTTAAACCACAAAGTCCGTGAAAATTGAGGAGAAGTTTCGGTTTTAAGTGTTTTCCAAACAAAAACCGGATCACTGACCGCACCCCTTAACTGGCGGGAATTTTTATTGCAGCGCTCATCTTAAGTTGAAATTGTGAAAAAACGGGCAGCGCTAGAATGATCCCGTTGTCACGGCTAGATGCCGACTGAGTTGCCGAGTACGCACATACCAAAATGTACGAGATCGGCGCGCGCCTGGCGGCGTCATAACGAAACGTTCTTTACTTTCTGGATCGCCTTTGTATATATAAGAGATGGCAAGTGATGATTGATTTTGATTGGACACTACAATCATCATCAGACCCAATGGGTTGAATGAAATCAAGAAATTATTAAAAAAATAATTGTTAAAAATTTGAATCATCCAAAATTATATTTGAATGAACCATGATATTTTTACATTCTTTAATAATCATCATTAAAGTTTATTTCTTTATATGAATGCAAAAATCTCATATACTGAAACTATTATATTCCACTAATGATTATGCTCCTATGTCTCACCTGAGATGCAGATAACACGAGTACTTTGCCAGCTCCAGGGGTTTGAACCTGACTACACAAGAGGATTGTTCTCCCGGCTGTAGCTTGCATTGTGTTGGTTCAACTGAGATTGGCCAACCAGCTCTAGGTTCAAACTGAGATGAGGTTTCTTCAACAAACAAATCATCTCTGGATATCAGGGCCACTGTAAAGTTGAACATTGGTGCAGTTAGAAATGAATGTAGATGTAGTCAGGAAGACATTATAAGATCTACACCTGCATAAACAACATTGGTTCAGTACTTACGGTTCAAGAGTTGGAAGAAACACACAAAAAAGTTGTTCTGAAAATATTTTACAAATCTACAGTTAAGTACAGACATTATTATATCAGTAACTATAGTAGGTTGGAAAACAAATATTTAACATATCTCAGGGTATTTTAAAATAACCATCTGTTGTCCTTTACTAACAAGGGTAGTTGAAAATGTTACAATAACATTGAAACTTATTTTTGAGGTACAAAACTCTATGGTTGTATTAGGTCTCTCTGTCTAATGATTGTTACTCCTTTAAGCGCTTTAAGCATGGGGGGAGAGGGAATTAATACATGGCAGGTTGAACTACTGGCTGGTCTTAAGCACCAGCAATCTCAATTAACAGTCAGTAACCTCCTCTTGCTTTATTTTTTTCCATAACTTAATTAAAATAGCATGATTCGTGCATCAGTATCTGTGAACATTTATTCAATATTCAAAACCATATTAAACATCACATCCAATTCAGATAGATGCATAATGTACAAAATGTATCTTCTCTAACACAAATCACTACAAGAGTTCTATTTCGAAACAACTTCCTCACATGCAGTTGTATTACTTTTTGACAAACCTATTTGTTACTAATATAATGGTTTTAAATACCTTCAGTCAAAATAATTAAACCTATTTGATCGTTCAAGTTTTACCTGAGGCAGGTATCGGCCCAGGCCTCACTCGTGGACAAGTGGCAGGTCTTGTAGTCACTTTATTTTTCCTCGCACGTCTCGGATGAAGTGTGGGTCTCTCCGAGCTCATTGTGACAGCTCCATAACAAGCCTTAGCTGACTCCTCCACTTCACCTTGTGTTTGGTTGCGTGTAATCCATGTAAACTGAGCCGGAACCATGCCAGGATTTTGTACCACCAACTTCTGTTCTCCAATCTACAATGAAAACCGTGTTTTTTAGGTTTAAAAGAGAGAAAATCAAATTCATAGAGCAGCACACTCTTGAAGTAGTTAACTATGTTGTGTTTGAATAAAAGATTGGCAACAGCTTGTCCATGTAGTTGGAATGTCTACTTCAGTATCAAAAGTCAATGACACCAAAGATGTAAGGTCTTATGCATTAGTCTCTAAACAAGGTAAGCACTAATTGAAATGGTAAGGAATAATGAGTAACAGGCAATGCCGCCCCCTGCAATCATGATTCAAAATAGATTTTGTCAACACTTCTTTGTAAGTATTAAATCAATTTCAGTCTTTGAGTCATCAAAAAAGATTATCAACACATTATATTTGTATACAAATATTTTAAATAAGTTATGTTTTTAATCGAGAGAGCGTGAGTCACACTCTACAATTTGAGGACTAGTGTTGCAATCTAGCCAGAGTAAACAGTAATAAAAATTCTTCTTTGCTCAGACAAACAGAAATTTGTTCATGCATTGTCCTGTGTATAGGCTTTTAGTGTATACTCAATGGTTTGTCGCATAATAACTAAATCTTGATTTTGCAGCCTAAATGTTGGAGGAAATGAGAAATCAATTTCCACTTTCCGATTCCATTAAATTCTATTCCCTTTGCCAGAACAACCTTATATGTTCTGTCTGGTTCACTAACCTGATTGATAATCGTAGGTGGGAAGTGTATGTCTTGGGCAGAGCAGGCTATCTGAGGATAGTCAGCACAGGCAGACACTGTCAAAGCTAGAGACAGACCTGAGCCTGGCAACTCTGAATACTCTGGCTCTTCCCGGGAACACACCACTCTCCTGCTACAGGTGGTAGAAAATACCATAAAACCGTATTACACATTCAAGTAGTCAAGTAAAAAATAGTAACATGCTTTTATAACACATATTGTTTCTCACAATCACATATGTACAACCATCATCAATCAATAGAATTGGTTAAAATGGTGACAAAAAATCAACCCAGCTTGTTAGCTTCCTCCTGAGCCTTTCACTGTTTATTCCAGGCTTTTTCTACCAAATTTTGTCTCTGACAGTGGAACTCTTCAGGAGTTGCACACTAAACTTCATCGAAAGGTTTGGACCGTTCTTAAAAAAAACTTTAAAATGTTAATAGAATTAAAACACAAAGTTAAAAAAAATCAACCACTCAAGCTTTAAGGATAGTAAAGATAAGTCCAGCTCGGATAAGAAATGAGCTGCTGACACACCTCTAATGTATATAACTTTTAAGGTAGCTAACAAATTTTCTAAATGTTGGGTACAATACAAACAGTGCCGGGTTTACCACTAGGTCAACTAGGTTGTGGCCTTGGGCCGAAAGCAAAAGAGGACCGCAACATTTGTACGAAAACAATTTTTCTAGAACAAAAATAGAATTTTAATTTTTTTGGAAGTGATGATGATGATGTCCCTGTGATTCCGGGAGATGTTAACAATTTTGCCGAAATTTTGGTTGACAGTGAAAATGTCTCGTGATAACAGAAGATAACTTTGGGGATGTTCCAGCAAAGGGACCAGGCCACTCAGAATGATTTTGCCTAGGGCCGCAAGTATCTTCTAATTCCAGTACTAACTGTGTAGGCGACAAAAGATAGCCTAAGTAAGGAATAGGGGAAATGACATGTTTAGCATAAAAATTTATCAAACTTACCCTTTTGACTCAAGTTCATCAGAATCTTCCAACCACCTGATTGTCTTCTGATGATTGTCCCAACCTACCACTGACTCAGTGGCCAACTGAATGCGAGACAAGCTACATCCAATCTCCATCTGTAAAATTAAGTTTGCTCTTAGAGAAATAGCTAAAATATGTTCAAATATTTGTATAAAATAACTATTAATTACATGGGACTGGATTTGGAAATATTTACATAAAACACAGATTTATCTCCAATTTATTAGTAAAACAAATTAAATTAGTTTTAGTATCAAATATTATATTTATTTTCCCGGAAAAAATATTTTAGGTAATCACCTGTTTAAACCTCTCAGAGGAATGCTGTATATTGACTGTGAAGAATAAACTAATCAAATCTCACATCTACAATTATCTCGATGGCAAAGCTTGACGGCTGGAGCACCCCTAAAATAAAAGGTGGCAAGCTCAAGTGAAATTTGAATCAAAGGGTTGGATCTTTGTATGTTGTACCTCAAATCAGGCATTTTGCTGCTTTTAATTTTTCTTCCTGAACACTTTATACACGGATTTGGATTTTTATATTCATAAGACGAGGGAAAACATGATAAAATATAAAAATAGACATAAGTTAATCAATAAATAATTAGTCAGGCTCAAAAGATTAAGACTTTAAGGGATAAACATTTCCCAATATTAAGATAACAGACGGATACTATTAAGAATAAACATACTTTATCTACGTATAAGCATACACGTCAAAAGATTCTGCGAAATACACTTCAAGATAGAACAATTAATAATAAGGAACTGTTGTGTATGTATTCAATCTTAAACATAAGTTTTAAGGAGACAACAGACAGGACAATCAGACTTGCCTTAAAAATTGTAGGCAAAGTGGGATGTTTAAAATTTTTAGGGTAAGTCTGCTTATTCTATCCTTTATCTCCTTAATTCTTAGGCAATATGTTCTTTTCAACCAAACCTAACTTACAAAACAAGTTTGTAGCTTACATTATCAATGACAGTCTTTGGATGATCACTCTGGAACGTCACCAGGATCTCTTTGCTTGACTCTGGAGGAATATGTCCCACAGAAGGAGAAATGGTAAACATGTCTGCTTCGTCCCACTGGAACCGATACCAAGTGTCTCGAGTCTGGTTGTTCAGTGAGAACATTTTTTTGACAAAGTCCCCGACACCACAAGGAGGAAGAGTCAACTCGTACTTGACAGATTGCTGAGATGCTTCACTGGATCTGAAAATATAAATTGATTTTATAGTAGCATCAAGACTTGTGCCACAGTAGAATGATTATAAGGATTCAAAAACATGTAACTGAATATGAAGTTTTTAATTAAACTTAAATCATATCCAACAAAAACATTGGCAATTTTCTGAAGACATCTAAAGACACATTACTTAATGATTACTTACTTTACTTATCTGATTTAATCTACCACCTACTTGCTTAATGAACAGAAAATATTATGTGAATACTTAACACATTTATGTTTTACATGTTCTAAAAGCATGCTATTTGTGACAAAAATGCCATAAAAAAGACATATCATAGACCAATAGCTACTTATGAGGTTGAATAATGGTATTTACAGGAAAGAGAAAAGGCCAAACATTGTTCTTGAGATTTTTAAGAGCACAACAACACAAAACAATAGTAAAAAGAAGTTTTTGATCAGTAAAAATAATATGAGGGGAGGATATTCATAAAAAAAATGGAGTTGACGGTGATAAAAGGAAAGAGTCAGAGAGGTAAGAGGGTAGATGAGGTGGAGAAGAGGGACTAAACCTGTCTACAACACTCACCTCCTCACCAGTGGTAGACCCTCCACCACAATGTCTTGAGTGTAGCCGACTGCCTCAGTCACCACAGTCGTGTCCTCATAGGGGTTGTTGGTCACCATTAATCTCACCTCACCCTTCACTGTACCAGCCACGACAGGACTAAACCTGGCTACAACACTCACCTCCTCACCAGTGGTAGACCCTCCACCACAATGTCTTGAGTGTAGCCGACTGCCTCAGTCACCACAGTTGTGTCCTCATAGGGGTTGTTGGTCACCATTAATCTCACCTCACCCTTCACTGTACCAGCCACGACAGGACTAAACCTGGCTACAACACTCACCTCCTCACCAGTGGTAGACCCTCCACCACAATGTCTTGAGTGTAGCCGACTGCCTCAGTCACCACAGTTGTGTCCTCATAGGGGTTGTTGGTCACCATTAGTCTCACCTCACCCTTCACTGTACCAGCCACGACAGGACTAAACCTGGCTACAACACTTGCCTCCTCACCAGTGGAAGACCCTCCACCACAATGTCTTGAGTGTAGCCGACTGCCTCAGTCACCACAGTCGTGTCCTCATAGGGGTTGTTGGTCACCATTAATCTCACCTCACCCTTCACTGTACCAGCCACGACAGGACTAAACCTGGCTACAACACTCACCTCCTCACCAGTGGTAGACCCTCCACCACAATGTCTTGAGTGTAGCCGACTGCCTCAGTCACCACAGTCGTGTCCTCATAGGGGTTGTTGGTTACCATTAATCTCACCTCACCCTTCACTGTACCAGCCACGACAGGACTAAACCTAGCTACAACACTCACCTCCTCACCAGTGGTAGACCCTCCACCACAATGTCTTGAGTGTAGCCGACTGCCTCAGTCACCACAGTCGTGTCCTCATAGGGGTTGTTGGTTACCATTAATCTCACCTCACCCTTCACTGTACCAGCCACGACAGGACTAAACCTAGCTACAACACTCACCTCCTCACCAGTGGTAGACCCTCCACCACAATGTCTTGAGTGTAGCCGACTTCCTCAGTCACCACAACGTGTCCTCATAGGGGTTGTTGGTCACCATTAATCTCACCTCACCCTTCACTGTACCAGCCACGGCAGGACTAAACCTGGCTACAACACTTGCCTCCTCACCAGTGGTAGACCCTCCACCACAATGTCTTGAGTGTAGCCGACTGCCTCAGTCACCACAGTCGTGTCCTCATAGGGGTTTGGTCACCATTAATCTCACCTCACCCTTCACTGTACCAGCCACGGCAGGACTAAACCTGGCTACAACACTTGCCTCCTCACCAGTGGAAGACCCTCCACCACAATGTCTTGAGTGTAGCCGACTGCCTCAGTCACCACAGTCGTGTCCTCATAGGGGTTGTTGGTCACCATTAATCTCACCTCACCCTTCACTGTACCAGCCACGACAGGACTAAACCTAGCTACAACACTCACCTCCTCACCAGTGGTAGACCCTCCACCACAATGTCTTGAGTGTAGCCGACTGCCTCAGTCACCACAGTCGTGTCCTCATAGGGGTTGTTGGTCACCATTAGTCTCACCTCACCCTTCACTGTACCAGCCACGACAGGACTAAACCTGGCTACAACACTCACCTCCTCACCAGTGGTAGACCCTCCACCACAATGTCTTGAGTGTAGCCGACTGCCTCAGTCACCACAGTTGTGTCCTCATAGGGGTTGTTGGTCACCATTATCTCACTTCACCCTTCACTGTACCAGCCACGGCAGGACTAAACCTGGCTACAACACTCACCTCCTCACCAGTGGTAGACCCTCCACCACAATGTCTTGAGTGTAGCCGACTGCCTCAGTCACCACAGTCGTGTCCTCATAGGGGTTGTTGGTCACCATTAATCTCACCTCACCCTTCACTGTACCAGCCACGACAGGACTAAACCTGGCTACAACACTCACCTCCTCACCAGTGGTAGACCCTCCACCACAATGTCTTGAGTGTAGCCGACTGCCTCAGTCACCACAGTCGTGTCCTCATAGGGGTTGTTGGTCACCATTAGTCTCACCTCACCCTTCACTGTACCAGCCATGACAGGACTAAACCTGGCTACAACACTCACCTCCTCACCAGTGGTAGACCCTCCACCACAATGTCTTGAGTGTAGCCGACTGCCTCAGTCACCACAGTCGTGTCCTCATAGGGGTTGTTGGTCACCATTAGTCTCACCTCACCCTTCACTGTACCAGCCACGACAGGACTAAACCTGGCTACAACACTCACCTCCTCACCAGTGGTAGACCCTCCACCACAATGTCTTGAGTGTAGCCGACTGCCTCAGTCACCACAGTCGTGTCCTCATAGGGGTTGTTGGTTACCATTAATCTCACCTCACCCTTCACTGTACCAGCCACGACAGGACTAAACCTAGCTACAACACTCACCTCCTCACCAGTGGTAGACCCTCCACCACAATGTCTTGAGTGTAGCCGACTGCCTCAGTCACCACAGTCGTGTCCTCATAGGGGTTGTTGGTCACCATTAATCTCACCTCACCCTTCACTGTACCAGCCACGGCAGGACTAAACCTAGCTACAACACTCACCTCCTCACCAGTGGTAGACCCTCCACCACAATGTCTTGAGTGTAGCCGACTGCCTCAGTCACCACAGTCGTGTCCTCATAGGGGTTGTTGGTCACCATTAATCTCACCTCACCCATCACTGTACCAGCCACGGCAGGACTAAATCTGGCTACAACACTTGCCTCCTCACCAGTCTTCAACTGTACTTGGTACAGACTACCTGTAGACAGTCATAAAGTGTTATCTGTTTTGTTTACATATATCTCTGAAGGCAGATATAACTTAAGTAATTCAGAAACCTCCTACTTGATTAGATCGACCACGTTAGGGATGACCTAAATAAATTAGAGAAAATCTTAAGCTGACAGATATAAAAGCAAATTGTTACCAATGCCAAAAATCATTGTAAAATTGTTCGGCCCCAAGAGAGAATTGCAAAGTAAGCAAGATATTTTGTTGGTAAGTAAGATGTTTTAATTTGATGATACTCTACGTTGTGTTTAAAAAAACCAAATCTTTTGAACAAAACATTTATATAGTTTACCTTTAATCACTGATGTAGAATCTGAGTAGAATGATAGTCCACTGTTTTTGTTGGTTAACATTTCAATTATAATCTGTAACAAATGTGTAAGTTATAAAATAAAATCATTAACAAGCACCGTTATTTTTCATTTTGTAAGTAAGTAATGAGTTAAAGCCACAGTTAACATTGAGCTTGTGCAGCAATGTTTCATTTAACTTTATGAATTTGTTTGTGTGTTTTGAATAAAACCATTCAAACTTATTATCCCTAAGTGAGGAGTAGACAAGTTTACAGTGTGTGAATGCAAATAAAATATATGAGTAAATGTAAGTGCTAGAAGCCTGGCTTATTTCTATGCAGTTTAGTGTATAGTCATGCTACTCGGAATAGCAGCTAATCTTCTGCTACTTGATCCCACCCAAAGAGAGAGTTTTTACAACACAGAGGGTGGGTGATCGAAGGTTTAATAATCAAGATTCTATTGTAGTTAAGCTAATACAAAAAAGTTATGCTAAATACATAAATATTCCTTGTATAAAGTGACATCAGCTGCAACATAGAATAAGAATAAGAATGCTTTATTGCCGTTACACTGGTTTACATGCATGGCACATTCAAGGAAATGTATTAGAACTAAGGTTTTAACTAAGGTTTAGCCTGCCTAAGGTCATATAACCTGATATTAGTTTTACACTAGGTTTTTTGTTACTAAGAAAAGAATATGATCTTAAATTCATACATTATTTATCTCACACATGTCAAGAATAAACCTAAGTACACTAACTCACTAACCGAACAATTGATATTGCCGTTGTTGACAAATCTAATAGTTTCTTCGCTAGAGTCTCCCACCAGAGTTGGAGGAAATGTAAGCTTGTATGGGTGAGGCGGGGAGAGCACCGTGATCTATACAAAATAATCATAAGAATATTAGTTAAATTTTAAATTTACCTAAACTTATATTTTGTAAGTTTTTTTCTAACAATATGAATAAAAAATTTAAATAAATCAGCTACGTCATTTACATTGGTAAAGTACTGATGGTAATAAGTATACAAGAGCTTTTAGACATCCTAGCATAATGCTACTCTAATCACAGTTTGAGCAGTTAGTGATTTCATTGTATAGCTTCTGTTAGGAGTATATTATTGATTTTTACATGATAGGTACTAGGTAGCTCTTATAGTTACCCGAGGAAGATAAGCTTCGCCAATGAGCTGTGTTTTGAACACTTGAGGCTCTAGAGGGCTTGGTAGAGCTACTCTGACTTCTAATATTTCTTCAAACACCTACAAACCAACAAACATGTAAGTAAGTAATTCTAGTTTGTACACTAATGTGTGATTGGTTTTGTCAGATATTCACCCTCATCATCATATCTCAATACTAACACAAAACAAAAACTGAAGTTTAATTTTTTTTTACAAATGAACATTATAACAATGGATGAAACAAGGATAACAGATGTTCATTTTTGTTTTCTCTTTCAAATGTATAGTGGAGAAGAACAAATACAATTTAGTACATACAGTTAGTTCATGGAGGATTCTACTACTTCAAGACTCCATAAAGCTTTTTATCTAGCTTTGAAAAGTCAAATGGTCTCAAATTAAATTATAAAAATAAAAGTAGAGAGTTCTATTTTATATTTAAAAGTTTTCTGAAAAGATTTGCAAATACCATCTTGGTTTAATCTGACCCCTGGTACTTATATAACAGAACAGAGAACACTATAGCTCAGCTGATAAGATAGGTATTGCTAGTTTGGGACCGGCCTGCAGTCTGCACTGTCTTATCTCTGCAATCACTGGCCTAGGTGAATGATACAGTTAAGCAGCATATATTAATACCCCTATCTGCGTAGGTCGGAAGGCCAGCGTGACAGTCAATTCAGAGTGTGACATGATGGTGAACTTGTCGGGAGTGGCGTAGAACACAGCCGGCTCGTTGTCACTGATGATAACAGCTGTGGCCTCACAAGGCACTAGACCACTGTTGTACAGGTGCAGGTGTAGGTTCATAACAGCCTGGGATCCAACACAGCCATTGGTGAAGTGAAGCACATTGTGATCCGCATCATACGAGATGTTAGGGTCTCCCTGTGGACATTCACAATTGAAAAAGATTAAGATACTTTACAAACTATCGCATCTTGGTCTTCTGGAGGTAGCCACATTGAAATGGTGTGAAAATACTTAGGCGTTTTGATGTGATCCAGCTATCCATCTTCAAGGAAAGCAGAATTATTTCAGTTGAATTGTACCATTTTTGTCCCAACATCATTCCCTACTCCGGCAACTGTCAATGCCGCAATCTCCTAGGGCTGCCAAGAAGTAATGTGTAGAGCGGTTTTGGGTTAGACACTAAAACCCTAGGGAGTAGCCTACTCCCTAGGGTTTTAGTGTCTAACCCAAAACCGCTCTACACATTACTTCTTGGTAGCCCTAGGAGATTGCGGCATTGCCAGTTGCCACATAGCTAAAGTCATTGGTTATTGGCAGGATTTGAACCCAGTAACTTGGAGACTAAATCCCGGTGCTTGGCCATTAGACCAGTTTGTTTCAGAGCAGAATTACTTCAGTAGATTTCAAAAATACAACTGCTACAATTCATCCAATATGTTGACCAGTTATTTTTGCCAATTCAGTGGTCACCTCCAAAAGACCACAATTCGACAGTCAAGTTTGATTATTAAGGGGGCGCTCTACCTCAGCTCGGATTTCTCAATACAACGACAATGTCCCTATACCATTATGCATAGAACAGTGCGATGAAGAGAGCTTGCAAGCCTTTTGAATCTGGGTGATTACATCGTTATCCTTAAAGTTTTTAATAAACTAACTGCAGATTCTTGTTTTTAATAATCTATTGCACTTTTTCTGTTTTATTTCTCTCTAAAAACTGTTTGTATGCGTTAAAACTTATGATAAAAAACGTGTATTTTAACATTTTTGCCAACCTTTTAGCCCAACATTTTTTAAATTATCAAAATGTTTAAAAAAATGGCAATACTACAATAATATTTAACAAAAATATGACACCAAGATCTTTTAAATTGGTTCACAAATGGGGCTACAAACAGTAAGAACTAAAACCCTTGCATTTGCGCGCGAGACGGGTAGAGCGCAGCCTTAATCCTTAGAAAAATAATGGGATAGGATTTTTTTAAGTAAGAGATTTTAAAGTTTAGAACGAAGGGGGTAATATCCCTATTTGAGCAACTGTCCAAAAACCAAAATAAAACAACTTTCCAATTTCAATCAATTTGACAAAAGGATGTAGATGTAGCTATTATTGTGTTTTATTTCTCAGGGCTATGTTTTCAGATAATAAATACTATTTACATGTTGGGAAATTTGTCTTATAGAATGACATTATCACTTATGTAAGATCTTTAATTTGAAAACATGTTTCTGGTTTAATCCTTGCTGTAAACCACATCATGAATCAAACTATACACTTTGTCAATTTAAAATATATAGTTGACTAGCATGTGGTTACTCTCCTAAATATTAAACGGATTTTACTCTTTTGAACATTGACATATGTGTCATGCTTACTTCAACTAGTAAATGTCCTTGGGTGCCAAACGGACTAGCCTCTTGGAAGATGTTTTGAACATTTTCAAAATTTATGAAAGGTAAATAAGAAACAGCTTTCAGTTTAATATGAGTGCCCTCTCTCTTCATCCATGCATATTCCATGACTTTGATGACCAGCTCCTGCCAAAAATGTAATCATTAATATAAATAGACAAGACACAATAACATTATAAACAAATTATAGAACAGGATCAGGTTGAACTCAAAAAAAGTAATTTTAGGATTTTCAAACTAGAAAGATTCACCTTATTGTGTGTGTGTGTGTGTTTTTTTAATGGTGTAGCGTGTTGACTTAGCTAAGCTTTAAAATAAAACTGCATTTAAACGGTTTAAACTTGATTAAGGAAGTGTTGAGCATGTTTGTGATATGGTTTTGTTTTGCAAACAAAACTATATAATCTTTAAATATATATATATATATCCATTAAAATTATAATCGTACATTTTTTATTCGCTATTTATTATCAAAACATAGTTTTTTTTTTATATCATACAAGTACTATACATAATTACTTACTAATGAGGTACCATAATTCCTAACCTCAAAATCTAAGTGACCTCTGGGTTAACCAAGATTCTTGGTAACTGAGTTGGTCTTGGTAGTCTTGGTACCAACAACCTCGGTTAATTAAGAATGTACTAAGCATAAGTACAAAAAAATTGCTTTAAGCACTATCACAAGATCTGGTTTGATTTTTTAGATGCACAATCTTGCAATGTGCAAGGTTTGTGATCGAACCAGCAGATTTGAAGTTGAGCACTTTATCCACTTTGCTACACAGCCAGTTGTGATATTATGAGTACCCTGGTTGAGTACTATTAGTATACAGATGGTAGTACTGAGATTCTCTTCACTACGAGTGCTGAAGCGAAATTATCAACCACGCTTCAGTGGTTTGTGGTCACCTGCTAAGTATAAAACATGCCTTGCAGGCCATTTTCCCAAGATTTATTCTTATACAAAATACTCGTTCATATCTTCTTGTTTTAACTTACAGTAGACTTCCTCTTATCCGGACTCCTCGGGATCGAGGCCAGTCCGGATAACGGGTTTTCCGGTTAAACCGACGTCCCCAAAAACTCATTAAAACGGATTGTTTACTGTGATATTCGACTTAAATTTAGGAGAGCATTGTATTTAGACACATGATCACTGGTCTCAAATCTTTCCCACGAGAATAGTCGTTTCAGTACTGCCCACTTCCTGCCGATCTAGTCCGGTTAAACCAATGTGCTGATAAAAGTTGTCCGGTTAAACAGATGTCATTTCCGCCAAGTGTAGTCCGGTTAATCCGATGTCCGGTTAAAAGGTATCCGGATAAGAGAGAGTACTGTACTGTGACATTAAAAGTATTTTTCTGTAGATATGGATTAATAAGCAGAAGTTTGTAAACATACCTCACAAAAAGTATCCTGGGAGGAGACGTAGCATTCCACATCAATCTTGAATGATTTGCCCGGCATCACCAGTCCCCTGGAGTGTGACAGTGTGAATGCTCCAACAGTCATAGTGCCCCAGGTGTCTTCCCTCCTGGACATCAACATTTTATGGAAAAATAAAATCAACTATTGAATAAAAAAATATATATAGAAAAAAATACAAAACATGGATAGCAGAATGATTATGTCCTCAAATACATTGCTCATCTGTGCTCATTGCTCAGTGATCGCTCTTATCCACCTTAAGTGTAACTGGTAACACCCATACGAACAAGAACGATTAGTTGTAGATTACCATATCCAAAGTTTAGATATCATAACATCCTTGTAAGTTACAATAAACAAACAAATTTATAAGCCTGTTTAAAAAAAAACTAACATGGAAGTTCCATATGTGTATGCTTTTAAAATAAAATATTTTAGTAACATAACAGAATAAAAAAAGAAAGTTGTAAACAGCAAATGTGAAAAAGATGTCTAATTGTCTAGTACAAATTTGTTGCAGTATTTTAGTTTGTTTATTATACAACAAACAGAACTATAGGCTATTCTAAATCTCAGAAAATAAGCCAACAAACTATATATACAAAAAATTGCTCACCGTCCTTTACTCTTAGCCACCACTTTTTCTATCCCAGTTTTCACAGAACTTTGGCCACTCCCTTTGCTTTTTGACTTTGTTGATAGAGCAGCTTTTACTGACTGCTTGGGCTGCAAACATATGACTAATAATGTAATACAAAACTTCACCCAGGGGCTCTCAACAAGGATTTTAATATTGTTGATCACTGTATTTGATATACAAAATACAAAATAGATTAAACCTAGCACAAAAAAGTTTTTCGGCCTGTAACAAGTTACTAACTTCAAAAATAATATCCCACACCACCAAACTCAGGATTTATAAGACAATCATCACACTAGTTCTAGTTCACTAGTTCTCAGTGTCTAGTTCTCCTGTATGGTTCAGAAAATTGGATCTTAAGCAAGAAATTAGAAAGGAAAGCTATTGTATTTGAGAACAAGATTTTGAGGAAAGTGTACGGACCGATTTTTGAGGATGGACAATGGAGATCGAGACATAATTGGGAACTTAGAGAATTATTTAAGGATCCGGATATTGTTGCTGAGGTACGGAGCAGAAGACTGAGATGGGCAGGGCATTTTCTAAGAAAAGATGACAACTCCCTATCAAAGAACATCTTGAGGAATAACCCAGAAGGTAGAAGACCCCTTGGAAGACTGGAACTTAGATGGTTCGACCAAGTGGAGAAAGACCTAAGCTAGGGAGAAGGAAGGAAGATGCAAGGAGCAGAGACCAATGAAGGCAGTGTGTTGGGGAGGCCAAGTACCATCTAGGGTACCAGTGGCCACAGCAGTAAGTAAGTAAGTAAGTAAGTATTTGATATAGATCTAAAAATTATTGTAGTTGTAAAAGGTTTAGCATTTGTTTATCAGTGTATGCATATTTCCAAAGCTAAAGGTAGGTAACATAAAATATACACCCACTAAATGCTGTGGCACAATAGGCCACTGTAGGGTACACAGTCAAGCTTCTAAAACCAAGGAAAATTAATAAAAATAAAGAATATATGAATGAATGAATGAATGAATGAATAAAGTGCTTTATTTTAACATAAACATTCTTCTTATAACACAAGCATACACTCAATTAAACAATGGTCTACGACCGTCTGTTTGGTTGGCACACCTGGAAAACACATTTATGAAAATTAAGTTGAAACAAAATACACTTACTAACATACACAAATTTACATACAATTTTACATCCATTTTCAACAAAACTAAAAAAAATACCTTTTTCATAATATTGTTTACATAACTTTTATTATTTTATTTTTTTAAATTATTAGAATTTAAAAGGTTTACGCATAATGAAAACTATGAAAATTACTATGAATATTTAAGAAGACAGGCTGACAAGTTGTTTGACATAATTATTGTTTTGATTTAATTTATAAATTAGAAAGATAATAAAACAATTTTGAATTTGGAAAAAAAAATCATTTTATTTATTCGTAATTAAATTCTCTAATTAACTCCCACCTCCTTCTCCACGCCTCCCTCATAAAGTTTGCTAATTTACGCCAATCCCTACCATTTATGTAAAGAAATAAAGAATATAATAACAAAATACAAATCAATGGGCATCCTTGCTAGCTCTGATAATGATGGCCCTAAATAAAAACGTCATTGCATTAAATCGCCATGAAAGTAAATATTATAATAATATCTATAAGAAAATATTATGATTATTTTATAAAATGTCAATTCACTTAAAAGTCTGTGTCGCATAGCAGCACACTATTTTATTTAGTGTGCACCAGTTCGTGAAGCCGGGCTGCTTAACTAACTCGCAACTTGCCGCGACTAAGGAAACTCTTCCCTCACCTCCTTCACCATCACCCGTTCTACTTCACCTCCCGACGCCAACCTGTCTACATCAAAATCAATATCTCCTTTGGGGCAGCTATGGATAAGTTCTATGTTTAAGCTGTATGGTTATATTAGCATTATTAAGATATCCAGGTAAGTTAACCAATTTAGGGGGGGGGGGGCACAAGGGTAACCCCGATACCAGAAATGTAGGAATTAGTAATCGGAAGTTTCTATGTCCTCGGTATCGAGCTGGCCTCATCATAAAAATTACCACATGTCCCCATAATGATCACCACAATTTTCTAGTTATCCTAGATCTCAGATTCAGTAACTTAATTTCCAACCGATATTCTCTAAACCATTTACTGTACCGCTACAAGTCTGATTTAATGAAGGAACTCCCTTACAACGCTAATGGAGGATCAATATAGTAAGAGGTACTTTGTATCAAAGGTTTAGCACTTATTCTTTTACCTTCTAAACTATCTACATCTAGTAGAGGTTTAGTTTTGGATTTGAGACACATTATACACAGAGTAAAATTTTCTTTAAAATGTAATAGGGTATTTACAGCTTGACACCACTTAACCGAGTAGAAAAAAAAAACAAACATTTTTACTAAACATTAGCCCACTACAAATTTGGAAACAACCATAGCAGTTATATACAATACAATACCTCTAATTTTTCAAGTTTCTCTTGCTCCACAGTTTGTATTTGAAACATAAATTCAAACTTGCCAACATTTTCAATAACAATGTGTTCCACCTTCCTGGTGCCTACCAACATGGAGCTGAAGTTGAGTTCAGACTGTGGGAACACCTTGTACCTGAAACACACATCATTCAGTACACACACACAGGATACGATGTAAACATGTCTAACTAGCTTTTGGACTATGAATAATATATACAGTGTGTAAATTAAGTCTTGAAACAATTCTGAATTTTTAAAACCAGAAATATTCTGTTTGTAGCATTGATTTTTAACAAAGGTTCTGCAATTTTTTACACAAAAAAATTGTTTAACCCCCCTAACAGAGCAGGGGGTAGGGGGTGACTTATTTTTTTCAAATAGCAACCCCTCATTTTGAAGAGCTTGTCAAAAGAAACACAATGACGCAAACTCTAGGTAAATATCTCACCCCTAGCCAAAAGGGCAGGTATTCCAAAATGGGTTCTTTTTCACATAAATAAAGTTTTGGAATACCCGCCATTTAGGCTTGGGGTGAGATATCCACCTCGGGTTTGCGTCATTGTGTTTCTTTTCACAAACCCTTCAATATGAGGGGTCATTCAGTAGAGATTGTTATAAAAAAAAAATAAACTACCCACCCCCTACCCTGTTAAAGGGGTTAAAAATACTGTATTGTTGATGTAAAAATTGCAGAACCTATGTTAACAATCAATTTCACAAACAGAATATTTGTATCTATTTCGGTTTAAAAAACAGATTTGTTTCCATATTTGTGAAATTGGTGCTTTTTCACATACAGTAAATTAAATTTTGAAATACCCGCCATTTTGGCTAGGGGTGAGATATCCACCTCGGGTTTGCGTCATTGTGTTTCTTTTCTTTTGACAAATCCTTAAAAATTAGGGGTCACTCAATAGGGGTTGCAATTTGAAAAAAAGCCACCCCCTACCCCGGACCCTGTTAGGGAGTTTAAAAAATATTATTGATGTGAAAAATTACGAAACCTTTGTTAACAATCAACACCACAAACAGAATATTTCTATCTATTTCAGTTTAAAAAATGCAGATTTGTTTCAAGACTTAATTTACACACTGTGTCTTGATTGTTAAAAAGTGGTTAAATTTCCCTGTTTTTAGTAGTGATTTATATACTGTACCCCAGTATATAAAAAATGAAGTTAAGTCCTCGGGTCATCAACCCTAAGACCACCCTGACGAACCCCCAGTCTTAAGAACAGTGGCAGAGAAGAGGAAGTAAGTAAGTGAGGAACAAGAAATTTACTAAAAAGAATTGAAGTCTAATTCCTCTAGGTTCTTAGCAGAGTTTGGTTTATGTATTATCCAACTCAATTCTACTCCAAGAAAACTTGTTTGTCAAAACATACTCATGCCAATTTCTGGTTTCACATCTGTAGGCCTATGTTGTTTCTTTACTTTTCAACCAGAGGATAAATATTTTGGGAAAAGTTCTTCCTAATCAAAACTGTCAAATATTATTGGTATGTCATCACTAGAAATTCCATTAACACTCTAGCATAAATTTCAAGGAGCAGGAAAGAAATAGATTGGATCCCTATGTCCAGAAATATCAATCAATATAGAAAGATATGATTTGGCTAACCGTTCAAGTTAGGATTTAATGATGACCGTTGTATTAGCAACACTTACTGTGAGGAGAAGGCATTGATAGTGACGTTGATGGGAATGGCAGCAACTGGCTGAGCCCCTGGTCCTGTGTCTACAAGCCACACCTTCACTACCGGAGCCTTCTTGAGATGTACTGGCTTGGTACACATGCATGTTATCTGTAGACAAAGCCTTTTATTGAAGTGTTACATGACACTGGTGAATAATATCAATGAAGAATATGTAAGAAAATGTGATGAATGCTTGGGAAGATGGTTTATTTACAAGAAAAAATTTAAACATAGAAATAAGCTCATTAATGAACAAGTAAATTTTGACTCCAGTTGTACTTGTAGAAACTTATTGGCCGGTACTTCCGGTAACCAATAGTACATAGGGACGCCAATTTCATTCTTGTCATTCGCCTATTGGGACCTATTGATGGATTGATAGGGGATTCACCTATTAATGAGTGGAGTGTCCAATCGAAATCGAAATCGATCAATACTTACCATGTTTCATATGTATTTACAGTCTTGTGAGTCAAAAGTATAAGTGTAAATATATTATTAATAGTGTTATTAGACGTACCTAGGGCCTATATCTTTTTGTTTTTTCAAAAGAATATCAATCCTTTAGTTAAATAGGCAAGGAAATGGAAGCAACTGGAATTACTATAATCAGTGATTTGATTTCAGATTTGACATATTTTTTTTATTATTAATTCTTAATTGAGATAAACAAATTTTAATTAAGTTTTACTATACAAAAGATTAATTTTATTTGATTTAAAATCAGTTCTAAAGTAAATCGTGAAATTATTATAGGTCTATTAAGCTATTGGTGGAAGGTGTAATGTAACACATGAAAAGTTCTCATGCGACTAAGATGAATTCTCTTTCTTCATTCTTTAAATGGATGGGGCTACACTTCAAACTACTGTGTTACAGCATCTTCGCATAGTTAAAAACTTAAAGCCTCGGTGATAGAACCTCTAAGACAGAAGTCCGGCACTAATAATAATTACTGTTAGTGTATCTATTTGGTACACTTATGCACACCTATCTTACACACGGGGATTGTCTGTTTAATAGCATGTAAGTCCTTTAATCACTAGACCAGCTGTGCTCCTTTGCAATTGAACAAAAGCTGGTTTAAAAAATACTAACCTGAACAGGTACAGATTTTCCCATTTTGGGCAACGTTCCACTTTTCGGTGTGAAAGTGAACACTTGATCTAGGTCAAAGTGAGTTTTGCATTCTTCATTAAATTTTATCCTGAAACATTAAATCTGTATAACTAGTGAGGATAAACTTGACAAATTCAAATTCTGCAAAAAGGCAATAAGTTAAGCAAATGATTTAAGTTAATATGTCTCAATGGTTTCGATTGTTAAATAAATCATAATTAAGTCCAGGATTTTCATAGTTTTTTACTTGCAGTCTGAAGAAATTCCCCACAAACTTATATCATATCATATCATATTTATTAGCACATAAACAGAGGTTATAGATAAATGCACAGGTGCTTCGTCATTCTTCTTATAGCCTAATATTATATAATTTCCTTTATTAAAATGTATTTTTAGTAATAATAAATAAAATAGTTGTTTAACATTTGAGGAACTCTTTGAATGCATTTTGATTAAACTCTTTTTATGTATTTTATTAAATATTTTAAGTTTGGCAAATTAAATCTAAGAAAAGTTGGCTGCTCTCTAACAAAAGTTTGTTTTAAATAAATAAATAAATATGAAATCACAGTATGGACTATTCCCTAACTTAAACCATTACAAATAACTTCTGTCACAAGTTGCAAGCAAAAGTTAAAATTTTTTTAAACATTGGCTGTTAGTGGACTCTATTGGAGTGTGTTCATTAGGAATGTTTGATATATAATAGACGACTTACGAGAATGTCACATCATATTTGCCGAGATTCTTCAATGCCACAATTTGAGACTCTGGCACTCCGACCTTGACGGACTGGAATTTAAGTTCAGAATCCTCACATCCTGCTGGAAACATCACATCTACCAGGACATCTATTGCCTCCAGGATCACAGGGATGGGCTCTGACACAAAGGGACTCCCTCTGAACTGGTCATCGTAAACCTATAACAAATATTGTTCAACGTAGCAGCCCTTTTAAACCTTTACGAGCCTCAGACTGTATGTATTAGTTTAAGTTTACTGTTGTTGTACATATGACTACCTATGTAATTTTAATCTTGTGTGTTGGCTGCAAAAATGGGCCGATGTATGTACTGATAGAGATGGCTTGATCCGAATAAAACCCTCCGAGTGGTGGAGCAATTTTTATCTTTCAACAATCAGCACCTCTACATTCTATATGAATGTAATTGCAATACCTCCATCTGGTTTTTGTACCACAAAAAGGAGTTTTCCCCAAAACACGTTGAATAGTAGTTCCAACAAGATGTTCCACCACTACAGACATCACACAATCATGTCTTTATGGTTTATTGAAGGGGAGAGTCTTAATGAAAATTCACGACTAAATAACAGAAAAGTTTTCCTTCCTGACTAGCATTGCCATAAATGAATCAAAACACAGTGTCTAGTTTCATAACCTGCAGGGTTTCAGTTCAGACTAAACAATAATAGCAGTTTTCAATGAGACCTACCTCAATATGTATTACATTCTTGGACACCTCAACGTAAGACGCCAAGAAGTTGATGTATACACTGGAACTCTGCATGGCTGAGATCACTCCAGACTGCTGACTGGAAAGATAAAATAAAACAAAACTATGTTCATGTGAAACATGCATTAATAATGTAACTAGCAACTTATATTTCATTCCTAAACCAGCCTAATTTAGGTACCTATAGAAAAATTATTAAAATACTAAACACACTCTCTAGTAAAATCAGTAATGTACATGGATATCTATCAGGATCAGTGAATTATGATCAGGACTTCTGGTTAACCTGTCATATACTAAAAATAGCCTATGTATTAAGTAATTCTTTAAGGCCTGTTATGCCAGAAGTGACTGGTGCATCTACCTAATGTACTTGTACATAGATACAACAGACGTTATATCAAAAGAACTCAAAAGCATCCCAAAAAAAGAACAGTGAGAAATGAATTGCTAGAATGATTATTTGCTAGAATGAGTGGATAACTGCTTTGCATTGTTTCAGGTTAGTCTGTTATGCCAGAAACGTCTATCGCTACAGCTGCCAGCGTCTGTAACTGAGCTGCTAGCGTCTATTGCGGACCACTGCTCCTGGAGCAGACGAAGACGCAGTCGCTAGCGTCTATTAGAAGAAGAAACACTGTTGTTTACTGTTCTTAAAAGTTGTGTTTTTAATCCAGTTTGTAAGTTTAGTAACATGTCACAATCAAAGCGGGGACTTAGTGAAGAAGATGATAAATTGATTGAAATCATTTCAGCACACCCTCCCCCCTTTTCTAGAACGGAGGAGTAGTTTTCTATTAATAATTAATAGTATCCCTCTTCAGGTCTCTTAAAAAACATAGAACACACTTCTCTGGGTTTGGACAAGATTTCTAAATTCTTTGTATCATCCAATTCCTAAGCTGACAAATAATTCACTATTTGCTTTTACTTACAGCACTCCTATCGCCACCAAATAAAACCACTCACTGATCAAATAATTGTAAGGAACAGACGCTTCTGGCAAAATAGCCCTGAGCGATAGACGCTGAGCAATTATCACTCTAGCGATCATCGCTTAGTGATAGACGCAACAGCCGCTTCTGGCAAAACAGGCCTTTACAGTACTACAACACGATAACAGCACAACTGTGACAGTGACTTTCTGGATCTTTCTGGAGAAAGGGGCTTGGCACTACGCCTCGCTGTTTACATATTACGTACTTATATTTTAGCCCTGTATTATTTTATGGAACAGTTTCGGTTAACCTGGGTTTCGGTTAACCCACATTTGGTTAACTGGGGTTCTACGAATAATCTTTTGGAATCTATAGTTAACAAAACAGCTGTTTACCTGATAGATATTTGTTTGCTTAGCAGTGAGAGATCGACAAGTCGCCAACCCAGTGGCTTGTAGCACAAATTAGACAGAGTGAGCTCGCTAAACTCCTTGCGGTAGAGCAACACTCGCTCAAACCTGATCTCTTTTGGCTCATATTCAAACTCTGGTTTTATTCCAATGCAAGACATCTGTAACATAAAAATATCAAACCTGAAATAAACTTACCAAACTACTCTTGTTTTGTTATATAGTTAATATAATTGATAACTCTAGAGTAAATTGAGAGACGTGTTTAAAAAAGGTTTTTGTATAAAGAATAATAATATCATGTGGAGATAGGTATAAATATGATCTCAGAAAATACTTCCTGGCAATAGGCTACATTTTTATTTTGGCAATGACAATGTTCCTACACTATTCTAAAACTGATGTTTTAACTCATATTACAATAATAATAATAGGTTCAGCACTTTGTATTAGGTATTTCTGGCACAAATGATTTAAGAATACATGCTTGACAGCGCAGTTAATACAGTAGAGTAATTGTTTGCTAAATAGATCATCTCACTTCATTCTACACTCATGTTCAGATTCAAATACACACTGTAAAAGCCGTTACTGTACCTCAATAACACCAGGATTGGAGTTATTTGCTATGGAGTATACCAGAGATGCCTTGTGTTTTCCAACCACTGTTGGACAAGCAAACACTTCCAAGGCTTTTGTTTCTCCTGGCTGTAACAAATACAAGACTTTTAAGTTACAACGATAGATACTTAGATTATACAACAACAAAAAATTGTAAGTAACAGTTAAGAGGATAAAATACTACGTAAAATTTACTAAACTTTCACGTTTTACACAATTAGTGCTTTAAGTTGTCTAATCATATGCTGAGATTAATTACTTGCATTATTCAAATTTATTTTTAAGATATATTTGGGATTAAAAGCGTAAACATTCTACCAAACTTACAAGAATGTGAAGTTGGTTGGGCTTGAAACCAAATGCAAAGCCTTCCCGGCGGTTTTCCACATTCACAAATGCAAAATCCATTTCAACATTAACAGCAGAAATATTTGTGAAGTAAAAGTTTGTAGTTAGATCATTTGTCCTGAGGAAGAAAATTAAATCAAATTGTGATACTACTTTACATTATAATGAACAAATTTACTTGGCTAATATATATGATTGTGAAAAAATCTTTTTCATATAGAAACTTTTTTTACTCCAAAGCTAAGAATCATAAAAAATCATACACTCTTTAGGGTGACAACATAGTGGAGCGGCGAGGCTAGATTGTAGCGGAGAGTGTAGCTGAGAGTTTTTTGTACCTTTAAATACACATAGTGGAGCGACAACGGTAGCGAGAGAGAGAGAGAGAGAGAGAGAGAGAGAGAGAGAGAGAGAGAGAGCTATAAGAGTTTCTATATTATAGTAGTTATGAATATATACGTTAAACCTAATCCATCTATCTTGAGGGTTAAATGTAATGATTTAGTAAATATTTTCAATGAATGGTGAAAAAAAGTAAAACACAACAAAGTTGTCATTCATTGAAAAACTGTCAACATAATTAAATAATAAAAATTGCATAATACAAAAAAATATATTGGAAAAAAACTGTGTATGGAAAAATTGTATATAAAATGTATCAGTTTTCAACAAGAATAATTACACAATATCATATCATTCATTGTAATAAAATAATTCCTTGTCCCAAACAGGACACCGTTCACGAACTGACGAAATAAAACTGTATTTATATAGTCACATTGGCTAATAAGGCTCAACTCTCGACCAAACCTTCGAGGTAAAAATATGTGGGTGCGGAGAGGCTAGCGTGTAGACGTGGGTACCTACTCCATTATGTTTTGGTGCACCTACATACATGTATGATTTAAAACCTGCTTAGCTATGCTCTCCGCTACACTCTACCCTCGCCAATTCACTATGTTTTCAACCATAGTCATGTATGCAGACAACCTGATGGAGAGAGCAAAAAGACTTGAGAATAGCTCCAAAAATATTGGTCGTAGAAGACATGTGTAACTGGTAACTGAAAGTCACATATTTAATTTGATATATTTTAGTTGTCTCTATAACAAGTATACTCTACAGTGAAATCCTAATTGTTTGAAAAAAAAAATACACTTATAAAAATAAAACTGTACCGTCTCCATTATTTACCTTCATTTACTCTCCCACCTAAATTTGACACAAGATTATGGAGAGAGTAACCCAGAAAAAGTGAAAATTTTATGCACGTAAAAATAATATTTAACATAAATATTATGGAAACCCCATTGAAAATCCAAGCTACAATCGGTTGAATTTCAAAATAATCATACAAAACATAAGATAGTGTAAGTAAAAAATAAGAATAGATTATACAATGGTAAAAGCAAGCAATTTAAAAATTAATGATGGTCAATGCATTTTAAAACTAAATATTATTTACCTGTCTTTATTTGCAGGTGTAGCAAAGACCGGACCAAAGTAAAATATCTTCTCATTGTTTAAGAAAACACACTGACTTATAGATGTTGGACTCAGTGAATCTATAACCTAAAAAAATGTACTACAGCAGGTAAATTGGTAAATTATACAATATTAATTTAAGCTAACATTATAAGAAGTTGTACGAGCAAACGGCCCTAACTTAAAAACAACCCCCTTATGATCAAAGAAGATGCTGGTGATATGTGTACCAACAGGAGCAGTAGCACCGGAGGACCTAAGTAAGTCTAATCAGGAGGTGTCTAAGGAAACAGTAGACATTATTCGTGGCCACTGGGTCTTTTGTGGGCAATTGAACAAGATGTAAATTACAGTTGAGAGCCTCTTGTGCAGGCAATGCAATGAGGAGAAGAAAAAGGACTTTTATGTATTGTTAAAAAGCTCAGCCCTGTTGGGCAATCGTAAAAGGTCCCTTGGAATAACTTTGTGAAATATACGAGATGATGAGGGAACAAGTAAAACAAAAATCTCTAATTTAATAAAGAATCTAGTGTTAGAAGACCATGAAGGATACGCCCGTGTTGTGAGGGTGCACAGTAAGTTGGTTACTTATGTTAAAAAAAGTCAGGCCCTCAAACTGAAAAAATCGCTCAAAAAAGGCTTTCATTGAAAACCCTTTTTGAGCGATTTTTCCAGTGTGATTAACATAATACTTTGTAATACTTTTCGATGAATTGGCGACCATACAAAGTAGATATTTTAAGCCAAGTATGAATGTAGATGAGTGTAGGATGAGTGTAGGATGAGTGGCGTGATCTTGTAATCTTGTTAGTGACTAAGGCCGACATATTCCTTAGACACAGCTGTTAATTAATAGCCCATACAGCTAATGGCAACTAAGCGACCTTCAGTTTATAGTGGAATCCGAGCCACATTTTTGCCCTGGTATATACAAATTGGTCTAATTATCAGGATAGTACTGCGGATAGTCGTATGTGATTAAAATTATGTTAATGATGATGAAAATCACAGTTAGGTGTGTCAGACACAATTGCCTTTACAGATTCACAAAAACCAAGTTAGTGAGATGGTACTATACTGTGCTATTTAGACATAACTTCTCAAACACGGCAGCAGGGTGAGTGTCTACATGTGGTATGTCACACACAGCCTCTAGTGTCAGATGGTACTGTCTCCTCCATCCTGCCACCTCCAGGTGTAGTGGCTGCTGGTACACTCCCTGTACCTCAGGGTCAAACACTACCTTCCACGCCCACTACTACTCAGACATAACTTCTCAAACATGGCAGCAGGGTGAGTGTCTACATGTGGTATGTCACACACAGCCTCTAGTGTCAGATGGTACTGTCTCCTCCATCCTGCCACCTCCAGGTGTAGTGGCTGCTGGTACACTCCCTGTACCTCAGGGTCAAACACTACCTTCCATGATCTCTACTACTCAGACATACCTTCTCAAACATGGCAGCAGGGTGAGTGTCTACATGTGGTATGTCACACACAGCCTCTAGTGTCAGATGGTACTGTCTCCTCCATCCTGCCACCTCCAGCTGTAGTGGCTGCTGGTACACTCCATGTACCTCAGGGTCAAACACTACCTTCCACGACCTCTACTACTCAGACATACCTTCTCAAACATGGCAGCAGGGTGAGTGTCTACATGTGGTATGTCACACACAGCCTCTAGTGTCAGATGGTACTGTCTCCTCCATCCTGCCACCTCCAGGTGTAGTGGCTGCTGGTACACTCCCTGTACCTCAGGGTCAAACACTACCTTCCATGATCTCTACTACTCAGACATACCTTCTCAAACATGGCAGCAGGGTGAGTGTCTACATGTGGTATGTCACACACAGCCTCTAGTGTCAGATGGTACTGTCTCCTCCATCCTGCCACCTCCAGGTGTAGTGGCTGCTGGTACACTCCCTGTACCTCAGGGTCAAACACTACCTTCCACGACCTCTGCTACTCAGACATACCGTCTCAAACATGGCAGCAGGGTGAGTGTCTACATGTGGTATGTCACACACAGCCTCTAGTGTCAGATGGTACTGTCTCCTCCATCCTGCCACCTCCAGCTGTAGTGGCTGCTGGTACACTCCCTGTACCTCAGGGTCAAACACTACCTTCCACGACCTCTACTACTCAGACATACCTTCTCAAACATGGCAGCAGGGTGAGTGTCTACATGTGGTATGTCACACACAGCCTCTAGTGTCAGATGGTACTGTCTCCTCCATCCTGCCACCTCCAGCTGTAGTGGCTGCTGGTACACTCCCTGTACCTCAGGGTCAAACACTACCTTCCACGACCTCTACTACTCAGACATACCTTCTCAAACATGGCAGCAGGGTGAGTGTCTACATGTGGTATGTCACACACAGCCTCTAGTGTCAGATGGTACTGTCTCCTCCATCCTGCCACCTCCAGCTGTAGTGGCTGCTGGTACACTCCCTGTACCTCAGGGTCAAACACTACCTTCCACGACCTCTACTACTCAGACATACCTTCTCAAACATGGCAGCAGGGTGAGTGTCTACATGTGGTATGTCACACACAGCCTCTAGTGTCAGATGGTACTGTCTCCTCCATCCTGCCACCTCCAGCTGTAGTGGCTGCTGGTACACTCCCTGTACCTCAGGGTCAAACACTACCTTCCACGCCCACTACTACTCAGACATAACTTCTCAAACATGGCAGCAGGGTGAGTGTCTACATGTGGTATGTCACACACAGCCTCTAGTGTCAGATGGTACTGTCTTCTCCATCCTGCCACCTCCAGCTGTAGTGGCTGCTGGTACACTCCCTGTACCTCAGGGTCAAACACTACCTTCCACGACCTCTACTACTCAGACATACCTTCTCAAACATGGCAGCAGGGTGAGTGTCTACATGTGGTATGTCACACACAGCCTCTAGTGTCAGATGGTACTGTCTTCTCCATCCTGCCACCTCCAGCTGTAGTGGCTGCTGGTACACTCCCTGTACCTCAGGGTCAAACACTACCTTCCACGACCTCTGCTACTCAGACATACCTTCTCAAACATGGCAGCAGGGTGAGTGTCTACATGTGGTATGTCAATGTCAAAGTCAAAGTATTTATTTGCACATAACATTTATGGGTTACAGCAGGTAACATCAAACTGGTGCATCGTCATTACATTTCTAAAAAGAAACACTACAACTAACTATGACACAAATAAACGTCTAAATATTTAACAAATTCTTCAACACTATATACACTTAATTCTAGGAGGAGTCGCTTCAAATAAGATTTATATCTAATTAAATCTAGCTGCTTTACATGGTTCGGTAATTTATTGTACATTCTTTTACCCAGCTCAAAAGTTGAATTAATTGTCCTTTGATAGTTACATTGGTCAGTTCTTAAATAATTGTTTTGCCTAGTAAAGTAGTTATGAACAGAGCTATTAGTTTGAAACTGTTTTAAATTAGTTCTAATGTACATTAAGCAATCCAATATAAACAAAGATGGAACAGTCATTACTTTAAGTTTCTTAAAAAGTGGTTTGCAATGGGTCCTACGATTAACATTGAACACGATTCTTAAGGCTCTCTTCTGAAGCCGCAATAATTTTATTGTATTACTGTCATAACCCCATGACACTATACCATATGACAGGTGGCTTTGTATATGTGCAAAATACACAGCAGCCAAAACATCAATATTAACAATTAACTTAAGTCTTCTAATCATAAAGATTGCTTTAGCTACCTTATTGCACAAAGATTTAATGTGTTCATCCCACTTAACATTAGTCTGTAAAGTAATACCTAAAAACTTAACACTTGACATTTCATCAGAGGAATTTCCAAAACTGAAATTTAGGCTTTGTGTCTTCTCTTTGTTTAAGCATAAAATGTTGGCTGCAGCCCAGTCTTCAATTAAATTATTAGACTTGAGTAGTAACTGATCATTTAAGAGACCACTATTACTATTACAGCTGATTTGTATGGCCAGGTCGTCTGCATACATATAAGGTATCACATATTCATTGGAAATGGCAGCAGGTAGGTCATTAACATAAATTATAAAAATAGTAGGACCTAATATCGAGCCCTGAGGCACACCTGTAGACACTGGCAAATATGGTGAAAAACAGCCATTAAATAAGACAGACTGGTACCTCTGTGACAAATAAGACTTAATCAGATTCAACGAGACTGTGTCAAACCCATAAAAACCAAGCTTTTGCATAAGTACTGTGTGATCTACAGTGTCAAATGCTTTTGACATATCGTAAAAACTACTACATACCTTTTTTCTAGCATCTAATGCCGATAAACAATCTCTAGTGAAGTTGACAATTGCTGTACTTGTTCCCCTATTAGACCTAAAGCCATACTGACTATCAGAAAACAGTAATTTATTTTCAAAAAATATTTTAATTTGATTATTTAACAAAATTTCAAACACTTTAGACAAAACAGGAATTATTGATATAGGACGGTAGCTTTCATATTTTACTTTTGAGCCTTTTTTAAAAATAGGAATAACTTTCACTAATTTTAAACAATGTGGAACAACACCCTCATCAATACAAAGATTAAACAGGTATGAAAGTATTTCAGCAATGTATGGTGCCGCTAATTTCAAGATCTGAGAATTAATAAAATATACATCCAAGCTTAAGCTATCGCTTAAAGAATAGATTGCTCTGAACACTTGTTCAACGGACACATTATTGAATGTAAAAGACTTGTGTACGTTGTTGAAAGGACTCAGTTTATTTAAATAATGTTGAACACTTTCATTGGCCTTTGGAACTCTTTGAACAATTGATTTTACATTATCAACAAAGCAGTTATTGAACATGGTGCAATTTAAGCTTAGTGATTCCTTATCAACAGAAGGCCTCTCATTTTTGTTCAGACCCTCGTTTACAATAGACCAGATGACCCTAGGTTTATTATTGGCATTTTTTACCCTACTACAGTTATAGGCTAGTTTAGCTTGTTTCACTGCTTTTTTGTATTCAGATTTTAGCCTGTTATACTGAACATTGTACATTGCACACCCAGTATTCTTAAATTTACTGTACATAAACAGACACTCTTCTTTAAGTAAATGCAGACTAGCATTATACCATTTAAACTTTTTAGGCCTGTTCTTGTCTGTTTTTTTATGCTGAAGCGGAAAAGCAACTTCAACCGTACTCATAAATACTTCCATAAAGAATTCAAACTTATGCTCAATACCATCTAATCTGTACAAAGATAACCAATTAACTTTACTCAATAAGCATGTAAAATAAGCAACATTTAAATCATATACTGGTCTGGTTATTTTGATATTTCTGTTATCATGTCGTTTTGTTTTACTACTTGCAGAGACTTCAAATTTACTACCAAAAATTAAAGCATGATGGTCAGAAACAACCATCGGTACCACCAAGGCTAAATTGATCCTTTCAGAAAGCACAGATACTGATATATTATCAATACATGTGCCATCCTTACCACCACGAGTACTAGGCCTGGTGACCTCAAATATTGTATTTTTTAAATTGAAACTTAACAATAAATTCTCGACAACATATTTTTTGACACTACCCAACAAAGTATTAACATTGTAGTCAGAGCATAAAATTATTGAGGCATTAGTCTTATTTCTACCACTTAAAAGATTAAATACATTATACATACATTCTATAAAAAGTTCAAAATTTTTGTTATCAGGTACTCTATAAATTTCTAAACATATAGCATTAACATCTTTAATGAAAACTGCAGCAACCTCACAGACATTTTTGATTGATAAATCCACGAGAAAGGTTAGTTCTTCACACTTAAAGTGTGATTTGACAAATATTGCTGTGCCACCCCTCTCCTCTGATTGTCTTACATAAGCACTTTTTAATACAAATCCAGGGATAGTCATATCTGATAAATGATTGCGACTTCCAACCCAATGTTCACAAATACACAGGGCACTTAAATCAAAACTGTCATCTAAGCTTATGATTTCATCAACTTTACCAATGCCTGTGAGGCCTTGCACGTTCCAGTGAGCTACATTAAATACTATAACATCCTCATTTTTATTTACAATAGAAGGATTAATAAAACTAGGCTTACTTGACACATCTAGTGATTCTGACAGACAAATATCTATGGGTTCATCTGCGCTCGTAGATGGTGATGGACTTGATTGGGTTGTTCCAGACGGGTCGAGTTTTCCGACAGATACTCAGTTCCTGGAGGAGGCGGTTGCTCTTCCACTCCCTGCAGGCATCCTCTTGGACCAGACAGTGATGAAGCCATTTTTTCAGCTATTAGATTACATAGCCATCTCTTGCCATCCTGGTTGAGGTGTTGCCCGTGTTGGGTGTACAAACGTCTGTCAGCTTCGCTTGCCTTGATCACCGAGACATTACAATAATTTTCACTTAGTTCCATGAGACGCTTATTTGTTCTTGTTACTTCCTTATTTACACAAGACCAATGTGCCAAATCATATCTCTTTGGTATATCTACTATAATAACGTTTGTATTTTTTGCTTTATTCAGGGTACTTGTCAGCTTTTCAAAAACATTATTCGCTTCATTTCGAGCCACATCATTACTACCACTAACCACTACTAGCATATCTTTTTCACCTAGGGTTTCCTGGTCGATGTTTCTTTCATCAAGGATTTGACTGGTAAATCCTCCAGGCCTTACAAAACCTACAGCTTCATGAGTTCCCTGAACGGCATTCATATGCCAAGCTAAATCACGCCCGTGACTATCAGCACAAATCAGCATTTTCCTCTTCTCGCTTTTTTTATTAATATTGTTAGCTACAACAAGATCCGCAGTACTTTTTTCTTCATTTACATCATCTTCATTAACTGTGAGTACTTCAAAACGATTGCTAGTTTCAACATCTTCGTGAACCAAGTGACTTTTTACAGTGCTCTCTGAAATAATTTTATTGTTACGGCTTTTTGGTGAAGAGTGAATCCAGGCAGAACTGTGACTTAGTTGAGTATCGATACTTTTGCTTTTAATTTTTGGCCAGACTGGTTTTCGAATAACAATGTTTAATTCATTAATTTCTTTTTCAAGCCTAATTATGTTTTCTTCTCTTTTTAAGACCAGTGTTTCTAGTTGAACCTTTTGATTTTTCAGTTCTCTTATCTCTTCAAGTGCTTGATTGAGATCATCGTTCAATGATTTTATTATTTCATTTTGAGTTTCAATTTCCTTTTTTACATCAGTGTTCAATTCATTAGTTTCCAGATCAGTTCCTAGAGTGACATCCAAGGACTTGCAAAAATCACATGACCATATAATATTACCTCTGGATATTTCATTGAAATCAACATTGGTTAGTGTAGTGCACTTAAGGTGATACCATTTGCAGCATACACTTTTACACAGGATTGCCTTGCACCTTCCAACATCTTTAGAACACTTTCCACAAGGATAATGTTTTTTATTCTTCATGTTATGTCTCAACAGCAATATCAATTAGTTATAATAACAGAGTATATATTTCAGTATTCCAATATTTACAAATGTTTGTAAACACAGATTGTAAAATGACAACAATCTCTTAATTCCAAGGAAGTAAAATACCTGTTGAATGCTATTCACTAGATAAGGACAGTTCCAGAGTTCATGTCACACACAGCCTCTAGTGTCAGATGGTACTGTCTCCTCCATCCTGCCACCTCCAGCTGTAGTGGCTGCTGGTACACTCCATGTACCTCAGGGTCAAACACTACCTTCCACGACCTCTACTACTCAGACATACCTTCTCAAACATGGCAGCAGGGTGAGTGTCTACATGTGGTATGTCACACACAGCCTCTAGTGTCAGATGGTACTGTCTCCTCCATCCTGCCACCTCCAGCTGTAGTGGCTGCTGGTACACTCCATGTACCTCAGGGTCAAACACTACCTTCCACGACCTCTACTACTCAGACATACCTTCTCAAACATGGCAGCAGGGTGAGTGTCTACATGTGGTATGTCACACACATCCTCTAGTGTCAGATGGTACTGTCTCCTCCATCCTGCCACCTCCAGCTGTAGTGGCTGCTGGTACACTCCCTGTACCTCAGGGTCAAACACTACCTTCCACGACCTCTACTACTCAGACATACCT